CAGGTAGGAAAGGTCATTATGTGACAAAAGTTGCTCAAGGGAATTCAGGGCCAAAACAGAAGGTCATGAAAGTAACTGGGAGCCAGTGGCACTAAAGAATTTTCTTCACCCGTATACTGGAGTGCCTCGCTCATACCCTCTTAGATCCTTTGCTATGAGACTGACGTGCAGGCAGCCTCGGGGAAAAGGAAGACTTTGGCATTGTTTGGTCCTGAGCAATTTTTGTGTCTTTACACACTAAATGTTACAAAACATGACATGGAATGGCACATCAATATCTTTCTGACCTACTCACTGACTACAGCCCAATAAGATCAGCATGTATGGGTCTGCTGAACTTACCAAAAGTCAAGACTAAATCTGGTGAAGGTGCATTTAGTCACCATGGTGCAGTTTTATGGAATAAACTATCCGCTGACCTGAGGTCTGTAGAAACTTTAGGTTCTTTTAAGAGTGGTCTTAAAACATTGCTTTTCTCTCGTGCCTTTGGTTGCTAGTTTTTCTTTGTGTGTGTGTGTGTGTGTGTGTGTGTGTGTGTGTGTGTGTGTGTGTGTGTGTGTGTGTGTGTGTGTGTGCACATATGGTTGGTGCATGGTCCCTGTGAGCACTCTGTGTTGTATGGGATGGTGCATGCTCCTTTTACAAATATGTTTTGGTTTAAAGTGAGCTCTTGAATCCACTTGTTCATTTATTATTATTATTTTTATTTATGTTTATTGTTTTGTTTTTGTTTATTATTTTAAATGTTTATATTGTGTTTGTTTATTTTTTTCCTTCTGTACAGCACATTGAGTTTACGTTTGTATGAAATGTGCTATACAATACAATTGAATTGAAATGAATTAGCAAGTATTAACACTGACCAGTAACCTGACTGAAAGTCGTTGACCACAGACCTGACAGACATTTTCAGAAAAAAACATTGAAACATTATACCTACTAACCATCTAAATACCTCCTAAAGATGTATTACACTTACTTATTAGAATTATATTAGCATTTTGGGATTATCATGGTGAGGCATAAAAACATTCTGAAGTTTGCCTTTAGCTCCTATAGAGCTTTACGAGAGCCGCTGGCTTGTCTGAAATAAAAGACAGTGAAAATCTTTGTCCCTTCTACATTGTACTGACAAGAACTGCATTGACATCCAGATTTCTTTTTTTAATCTAATTGACTTAAAGTGCTGTAAAGTGAACTCACCAAATTCATATCCTGTTAAAATTTTCATTTGACAGTGTTCCAAAATTCTAATTTCTACTTTCACTCTGCATGATGGAAATAAGATCCACTATCCTCTCAATAAGATCCACTCCAAAGTAATACTTTTATCAGCCATACATGTTTGGGTGCATTAGCTATTGGGTAGAGTGAGCATATGTCAGGTGGCATAATTGCTAGTGGAAAATGGTGTAGTTACTAAATTATGACATGGTCTACTTTCATGCTCTAATAAAGTATATATATGTACATCAGTAAATGAAATTAAACATGGAAACTGAAAGCAAGCCACATGTGTCATCACCTCCTCTTATAAAGCCTGATACTAGCTTGGAAAACACACTTTGCAGGGAGTAAAGACAACACATGTACATCCGTCCAGGTCCATTTTATCCTGATCCACAATCTCACAGTGCTTGGACTACAAGGCCAGCACACACATGCTAGATTACGCTGTCTGAGCAGAACACCTGAGGGTCTAAAACACACCCAAAACTTGGCTAGAACAAGGAGGCACGAAGCAGATGTTCCCTGCTCCCACCAGCTGCTGTGGAGAACTTTGGAGAAGTTGGACTTCATTGTGTATCAGTGTTAAAAACTCATGCACATTTTGTCCACTGTTGATGCTGCAACATGCAAACACTGCAAACTTCTGTAATGCTTCCTACATACAGTCGGGCTCATAACTAATAACATAATGGTGATTAGTTTATATTGTTTAACAGCTCTATAGTGAGTGATGGTTGTTTTTGCTGCAGACAATCACACAACTTAATATGGACTTTGCTTCAAAAGATGCAGAAGTGGCATAAGAAGGATGTCCAGCTTTTTCCTGAGGGAACTTCATTGGTACACAGACTAACCTTACTGAAACGGGGGGAACCAAGACGTCTTGAATTATGGTCATTTTTAACCTTAATCGATTTCATTACAGTCTAACTAGGCAATAACTAGAAAAATGTAGTTCAATGTTAAACACCATGTTTCTGTTGTAATAACTCATCTGTCACTTCTGCAGATTTCACAAATTGCTCTGGGTAATTTCTTAGTTAGTCAATTCAACTTCCAGAGAAACTTTGGTCATTTCACACTAGTAGATATTAATGAAGTCTGCCAGGCACATTAGCTCATTAATAATATTACAGATTAAACTATGATGAATTGGTGGACTGCACAATGGGCTGTTCTGGCCCTGCTGTGACCAGTCTCTTATCTGACCTTTACAGATACAAGCTGAAGAAGACGCAGGAGACACAGAGACCCCCGCGGGGCACGCCTGAGACAGCAGATGTACGTAAGCCTTCTTCATAATGGAGAGGTCTGTGGACCTTTTTTACACTGTCAGTTTCCAATAATAGATTATTTTAATTTCTACAGACACATCAGGGAAGATGGGTGTTGAAAGCCGTCATGACCGAAAAGACTGAGTTCTGTTAGACTTCTAATAAAAGTGACTGTTTTGTTTCTTCTGCAATAGTTTACATACAGAGACACACATTCAAATCTTTAAGTCTATATTTAATGTGTGCAGCCTGTTGCATCTAGAGCATTTTGCTTAATTTGTATAGCAACAGCTGTAATCTTATTAAACTGTGAAAGTTTAATGTAATAAAGAGTATGAAATAATTATGTTTAAATTGGCACTTACTGTAAGGAGACTTTTGAACAGCTAAGACTGGTAAGCTTGAAAAGAAAAATCTTATAATGACATTTTTTATGGGGAAAAGCGTACTGTGTGTTAAAATGTGAAAAAAGGGGATAATCTAGAAAACCTACTGTATGTGCACAAAGCCACTCCATTTTTTAAATCAGTGTTCAATCAAAGTTACTTAAAAACTGTAAAAAGATACAAAATCCCAATTCCTTAGGGTTGACTGTACTACTGTTACTTTTTGTTGCAGAAAGCTCCTTCAACAACAACAAACTTATGGGAAAAAATGTTTGTTTTTAGCCTGAGTAGTTGCCAGAGTAAAATGTTAAATGAAAGTAACATGTAACATCAGTGGAGTTAATATGAAATGTGGAAATTAGGAAATACTTTGCTCAGGTGAAGAGTTTTCAATTTTTCATTTTGAAAAACGGGGCAGCCCTCATTCTCGTGGAGATTCTCTTGCCTACACTTGTTTTCATCCATCTCTAATAAACTGTGTACATTATGCCAGAGCCAACTGGGGTTATTTCCAGCTTTTTTTGTACACAGAGTTTCTCTCAGAAGACAGAGAGACATCATGTGCTCATCAACTCCCACCCACTGAACAAAAAGGGCAAAGGCATCCAACCTTTCCAACCCCCCAATAAACCACAAGCTAATCAGCAGCTTGTACAGAAAGACGAATGGTCCCAACCAGGGACAAAGACCATGCAGGATTTTAAAGAAAAAGAACACCCTAAAATGCATCGTACATACATACCATTAAGTATAAGTCTCAAGACCAGATTTGTGAAAATAGACACTTTGTCTTCCAGGCTAAAGTAAATGTATTATTATTTATCATTGAAGAGGTAAATTGGCAATATTTAACACAACAGCAAAGATGACAGAAAGGTCCAAATATTTCCTACACATTTGAGTTGCTTATGTTTTTCAACCCCATTTTATCCTTTCATAAAACCTCTGACTTAATCTATGACCTTCCTTTGCTCATATAAAACACCACCAGAATAAACAAACAGTTCAAATAAGAGTTAATCAGCTGCAATAGTTAAATGCTGCTTATTATTTTAGACACTTGTAAATGAAACAATACCATGAAAATGACTGTACTCTTCAGATTACTTTAATAAGATAAGGGTACTTTAACTTCAATAAAGGATCCAAAAAACTTCTCCCACCACTTAGAATGACAGACAACCAACTGATTAGTTTTAATGCTGAACATTGAATGTTAAGGAAGGAATGAAGGAATAAATGAACTAATGTTATTATTTATATTGTACTGTCATGACATGATCAAGAGCGAAAGCTATTTCCTGTGAGCTAAAGTGTTCAGTTTCAGGATTCCGTTCACCTTAACCACAGCATGATGTGACATTGCAACTGAGAACCCACTGAGCTGAGCCCTGAGTGGGACCACCAGCAGAACTGGTTCTCTTTAAAAGCACAAATGGAGCGATGATGTGGGGCTATTCATGTAGGTCAAGAGAATTAATGCTGCTAGTTAAGACGAGACAAATTACAGAGTCATGCTACGCCAGCAGAATCGTGAGTTAACAGAATAATGATTTTCTGTATTCCCCCTTACCTTTTACTTTTATCTACACACACGATCAAACACACACACACAGGCTTCAGCGTGTTAGGCATCAGATGCACACATGGTGAGCACAGATTAAAAATGGAAAGCCGAGAGCTGGAGAGGTTTGTTGGAAGAATTTGTAACCTTTATGGATAATCAGAAACAATCAAGTGTGTTGTTCCACTGGGGGCATTAACATGACCTCGTGTGTTAATGGCTGCAGATTCAACACTCTGTATAGTCAGCATTGTGCAGGCGTCTTTCTGCATGTCAGTGTGCGTCTGTTTCGCATTCGGAGAGACGAGGTTCAGAGACTTCTCAACGGCAGCAATGTCCGTGTGAACACAGATCAACATTGTAGAAACAAAAGCGCAGAAAGCTTTGAACCAGTGTAGAGGAGATTCAAGAGAGAAAGTTGAGAGCTGTATGGAACAATTGTTCTAAATACATGATGTAGATACATGATGTGTTTCTTTTCCCTTCAAATGTTGGAAAATAAACAGGAATGCAGAAAAACAAAGATAAGCGATCAATTGTACTCACTCAGCATTTGCCATGATGCTGGTTGACTGGGAGGGGAGAGATGTGGGGGTTGTCGTAGCAAAGGTTCTGCTCAGTTCAGGTTGATTTCTCTGCTCTTATCCTTTTCACCTGATAGATGTTGTCATGATGAATCTGGGAGGCGAGAATATGGTCCTCACTGCAAGCAAAGAAAAGTTCTCTCATTTTAAATATGTACAGGACAGGACTCCTTCAATTTTTGGGTGCCTGGCCAATCAGGTCCAAAAATAATCACTTTAAGCCCAGCTTCTGATTTCAGGGACATTCAACAAAATCATAATGAAAATTGTTGAACAATGTAAAGTATTTCCTTTGAATGGTTTATTAGCTAATACAAGTTGGTGGAACTAGTTGCTTTCATCGCATGCTTGAGAAGAAAGCCTTGGAGAGAGCATTTGTGACAGTGGTGAATATCAAACTAAGGTACAGTTTGATTGACAGAAAATGTAAAACAAAGTCAACAGAAGGTTGACACTAGAACTTTAAACGAAATACTTTTAAGCCCAAACATGAATAGACTTTGGTTGTTGTTAACTTTGAATCAGTCCTAAAGCATTGCTCTGCTAGCTGAGACCAAACGTTCAGCATTCCTACGAACAGAGGTGGGTGCATGTCAGATGTTTCATCAATGCCTTGTACAAATGGATTTAGCGGCTGCTATTAGTCCAGAAAGCAGAAACTATAAATTAGAGTTGTGTACTGAACTGTTACTGAGAGCTCCTCGCTACACATCAATTATTAATTCAGACCTACCTGTGTGAGATTTACATTGTTGATGGGTAATCGTGCCTCCCGCTGCCCCCTTGCTGATAGTGATGTCTCCCTCGGTGGTGATCAGAGTGAGTGGAACAGCAGCAGGCTCGCAGTGTGTAGGCTGCAGCTATCCTTAGCACTTTTGCATTGGATGAGCACCACCAACACCAACACCAACACCACCGCTGCTGCTGCTGCTGCTGCGTCCGCTGCTCCCACTTGCGCTGCCTGGATTTTAGTGCAAAACCAGAGAAGGGCTGAAGCTCAAACGCAAGAAGCATCGTCGCTCGGGAAGATCATTTTAGGTTAAAGCGTCCCTCAGAATAGAAATACAGATATATTTTCCTGCTATATACCGATGCTGTAGATCCCGCTCCTCAGTAGAGGAGGGTTTCCCCGGCGAGCGCAGCGGGGATCCCTGCGAGCGGAGCTGTCCAGGTGCTGAAATGAGCCAGACTATCTTCTGCTCTCCCCCGATCTCCCCTCTTCCTTCCACAGCAGCAGCAGCAGGGCAAATTTTTTTTTTTTTTTTTTACCCAAACGCCATCAAAACATTGACGTTTTCGTACCGGAGACTGACAGTAGCCAATGAATCGTGTGACATTTGCATCGCTCCGGTCACGACATAGCAGTCTAAAAAATGTTGGCCGTGTATGTGTGTGTGTCAATGTGTGTGTGAAAGAGAGGAAAAAATCCAGTGTGTAGATTTTCTCAGTTCCCGATTGAGGCCAGTTTAAGAGCGGATTATCGCCACAGATGATTTTATTAGCTTTACGCCTGGTAGGTCGTCCCTCTCCGTGTCATGAGCGTCTTTTTTTATGGTTTCCCAAAATAAAGATACTATGGGAATATAAATTGCCTCCGCAGCAATTGGCTTAACCGTTTGTCATTCATCGGGATTAGCCAGTCGATGGTTAAAGCGCACATCAATCACTCTGAAGCGTCTCTTCCTTTATTTAAACACGCCTGGACGTGGGCTGCTCAAGATGTTATAGGCTGAGGCTCACATTTCAGGGAGTGCGCAAATGAGGAAGAGCGCTGATCTGAATAAGCTGTAGTAGGCCTGTAGTTACAACAGAGGAGGGATGCGTAACGCCCAGCGCGCTCCAGCTTCCAGGACTGGCTCTTCAGATGCTGGCTGCTGGAAAGGCTCTGATAAAGGGAGAAAACAGTACAAGCTGCATATTTGACATATTGGATGTTTGTAATTTATTGAGGAAATGAGCAGAACAGATATGATTTGGCACATGTAGAAAAGTGCATTAACACCAAAACGTTTTGTTCAATTTGCTGTAAGCACTAACTTAAAATACACTTCCATTTTTTTCTTCAAAAAAATACAAAAGGAAAATGTGAATGATGTGTAATTCAATTTTTAAAAACAATAAGTATTGCAATACATAGAGAAGCTGAACACCAAAAACTCTTTGACCAATATATATTTAAACTGGAAATTGCACCTCCAGGTCATCAGCATATTCTCCTTAAAAAAGGAAAAAGGCTTGGAAAAAAAAAAAAAAATCAATGACAGCATTTTGGAAAACTGATACAGTAATGGATATTTACAGAGACTTGTATTCTGCTTTAAAGTACTGTCTGCACAATTTCTCTTTTTTTTTTTTTTAACAAGTAACTAGGTAGTTTCAGGCTATGCTATCAAGATTTCAAAAAGAAAATGTACTTTTCTTTCCAGAGATGAATGCCGAATAAAACTTTTCTGACCTTGGTCAGGATATCTTCAATTTTCAAACCGTTTCCTAAAGTTAAAGACAAACTACAGTCAATTGTAAGTAAAGGTGAAGTTGAGATTTTCTCCTATTAGGCATCACTTAACCATCAGGGCCATCAAGGGCAGCCACCCTGTTTCCTCTTCTGTTTTCAGATGAATTTTTCTAACAAACTTTAATAACTTGGAGGATGAAGGAACCACCAAGCCCAAGCAATATCTACTGGAACGAGGAAGCAGGAAAAATGGCCTGACATGTGGTCCAAAAAGAGGCACTGTTGGGTTCAGACTCATGTCCCTGTGCCCAGTGGAACCAAGGTAAATAGATACCTTTAAAAATTGTACTTATTCGTAGGCCAATACTTTTTCCCCCGTTTGTAAGACAAAGTGTAAAAAATCTTAAGTGTAAAAGCTACATGCCAAGGAAGAGCATTTAAATCAAGACCACCTTGATTTTGTGGTTGATGGACCATATTTGTCTTATTTACATAAATAAAAAGTGCCTCCATATAATCAATAACTAGAACAATAGCTTGTGGGACTCACAAGTGTACATAACGCACTCACCTGAAAAGCAAACACACCATGAGGGTGATGTCAGAGGGTAAGATATGCCTTGAATGTGTGCGAAGTTTAGGGTAAATATAAACACATATATTTGATAAGAGTGCCCCATCACTTTTGAATGTAAAAAGAGATGATCAGTTCTCTTTTTTAAATCTGAACTTTGTGAAACCCGATAGTTTGACACAAAGTTTTGTTTACACACAGTCTCTGAGGGACATCATTTCCCAAATGATGCCATTACACAGATGGCTAAAGGGATTCTTTTCCTCACGTATGAGAAGAAATATTCGGAGTCGCAACGTGTTTAACACGCTTTACAGAATGCTTCTTGTTCCCGCCTGTCTTTACAAACAGGAGCTTCCATCACTCAGCCCAAATGCACCAGGGTCATGACAGTAGTGTACTCGTGCTGCAGACGGTCCGTGTCAGTGTCGCACAGTGTGTAGTCGTCTTTGACGATCCGGTCACAGCCGATCTCGCCATTGCCGAACAGGCCGAAGAGTGGGGTGTTGGGGAACACCTTGTGGAAGGCGTCAGCTTCTACATTTGCCTGGTTGTTGTAGTAATTCTGGCCTCTGCCGACGCAGGCAAACATGAACCCTATGGTGTTTCTTTCGGGGATTTTGGCTGCCTTTAGCCTCCGAATTGTGGCTTCAGCTTCCTTCGGGTTGGTGACGTCTTGGTCCAAGAGCACAGATGCACCTTGCACCTTAGGGCCACTCAGAGCCAGGCCCATCACCCCGTATGCACCCTCGCTACAACTACAGATTGAGAGATGATGGGAAGAGAGAAAGTGTGACTTTGAAAAAGATTATTTATTTATTTATTTAGAAAGCTTAAAAATGCCATCCAATCCTTTTGGTAAATCCATACAAGGTGAACTTAATTGAAAGTTAAATAAATTACATTTCAAATTAAGGTGGGAAAACTTTCATGTCTGAAACCTCAGAGAATCTGAGCTTCAGGACTTTGAAAGAAATCACCAGCAATTTTTAATTTTGTACTAACACATTGTATTTACAAAATTGGAAAGAAAAACATAATCTAAGGGAAGGGCATTTACTCACCATTGTCTGGTAGGAGAGAAAACACTGTCTACCAGCCCTCCAGCAATTAGAGCTTTGCTCTTGGCCAGCGGCTCCAGTATCTGGCCGAGGAAGCGTGCTCCTCCAGGTTTATAGGCCTCATAGACAAACATCAGTACAACCCGAAGGTCTGGGTTGTCAACTAGTCCTGGAAAGACAGCATCATGTATTTATAAAACAATTATGGAAACACAAGTTCAGCACTTCTCACTTTAGATAATGCAATAATGGCTGTGAGCCTGCACTCACCAGCTTCTTGCAGGGCTGTTGGAGTGATTGACTTCTTGCAAAAATGAAAGGGCTTGATTTTGACACCTTCCATGCTGGGGAACATAACTGCAAAGCCTGCCTCCCCCTCCTGGTACTCCTGAGGAGGGCCGGAGGAAGGGCCACTGGGAGTCACTGCAGAGAGGAGCATGCATGTACTTTGGGATTTTCACGTATATATCCTACACTCAAATCGTGATGAGGCCCATGACTTCTCATTACAACCAAAAATTAAGTCATTCATTAAAGTCATTTTATTTCCCAGATGAGTTCCGCAGACATCAGCTTTTACAGCTCATTTGAAACCTGCTGAATCCTGATAGATGACCAAGATCCACTAGTTGCTGCCCTGTAGATGCATTTACATTACAGATGGTTTAAGTCCAACCTTCATTCTCCACAGTTAAGTTGTTTTACACCCAAATGAGTTAGCAGTTAAGAGAGCCAACAGAAACAAAATGGGAAGTGGACAGACTTGTAAAAGTGTTTTTTTCTCTTTAACATAAACACTGTTTTTTTTACTTGACAGACCCTTCGTACACATTTGTTATATTTTATTTGCAGTGTTAGCTGAACCCATAGGAAGTAGAAATAGCACTTGCTGCCATCTTGCATCCATAAAGTTCAGATTTTGTCAGAGGACAGAAAACCTGGAAGCAACTTGTGCTGAGTCAGACAGCTTTGAATTAAAAGAAGACATTTTACAAGTCAAATGAGGAAAGGCATGTATAAAGTTTAAGTAAGAAATCAATTCAACTGCATCCACTTTTGGCCTGGTGTGTGCGGGTTCATGGTCTGATGTCTGAGGGAAAAATGGTGTAAAGACTTCTCTGACAGCCTTAAAAAAATCTCCTTCATTAAAAACTATTCGTAGATTTCTTTGTGGTAGTGGGAGGAGGATTATTACTCTTGATTTTGCTACAGGCAGATTTATGTTGGCAGCATCTAGTGGCCATTAGAGGAAACTGCAACACAATCCATTGTTGCTTGGTGGGCTAGGAATAATCTTCTAGAGAATTATAATACAGGCTAAAAAACATTTATGATGATATCAATGAACATTAACACGCCAGGTAAAATTTTAAACTTAAACAATGGTATATCGAAATACACTTTTAATCAAGACAAGTTAGAGAGTTAAGCAGATTGATGAGCTACCATGCTCATGACAAAACATCAAGCTGTACAGTCATGAATTCACATTATTATAAGACAGGTCACCTAATTTACCACTCCAGTATATCTTTTAGTTTTAATGATTACATTTTAACTGAGCTTGTTCCCTAGTGTGCATTTGTGCAACTGAATTTGTACATTACAGAACACCATTCATAGTGTTAAAAGTGAACAAATAGTATGCATTAGTATCTAATCCATCCCCATACACTAATCTGTTATGCAGGAATACAATGTGTACATGTATCACAATTCATCTTTTTAATACTGTGTAGCCCAACTACTAAAGCTCATGAATAAATAGACTCACTCCGAGCTGTATGGAAAGACTTATCACAAGTAATCCATAGATCCATCCTTATCTAATCAAAGACTTCATTCATTTGAATTAGATGTGCATGCTGACCCTGTGGTGACCCTCGGCAGCAATATCACAAAATGAGAGTTATCACAAACAGCTGAGGCGACCATTAAAGCTGATAGACGATATGAGCCTGATCAGCCATCATCTAGCGGGAAAAGAACGTGACTGATGGAGAGTCACTTCTCTGTGGGCTTGTGATTATACGGAGAAATGGGGAGCACAGCAGCAGGCAGACTGGCCCATCTTTCAAGCAGCCACCATTGGTGCTTTCCAACCAGGCAGCAGCAGTGGGAATTAATGTATAGACCTCTCTGCTCAAAGGTGAACCATTCCTCTTAGATAGACACATGACACCTGGTTAACTTTCATTGTTTTTAGAGGATTGTAGTGTATGGACATGCTGCCGCAACAACCAGATCCATCAAAGCTTTGACTACCACATTTTTATGTCATTGAATGAAATCGATGGTTAAATGTGGATACACAGTTTTTTTCTGGAAGTAAGATGCTGATATTATTTTCAGTCAAATGAATGAGGAAACATTTTAGGAAAGAGGAACACTTACAGACGATGCCTGGTGAAGCAATGCCCATGATTTCACATCCTTTTGGGAAGACCATGGTCAGTTCGTCAACTGTTTCCACACTCTGTCGAGTCTTCTTTGCTTCGAATAAGTTGAGAGAAAAAAAAAAAATGTAAAAGGGGGGTAATAATGTTCACCTTTAATTTTTCTAATTTCTTTTAGTAAAGATGATGCTAACAATCCTGTGTTGTAATGTGACCTAACTCTACTGCAGAGTTATTAAGTGATCGGTGATTAAGTTACCAACTGACATAAATTCACGACAAGTGTTCAATAGTGACTTTTTTTATGCAAAGTTTACATTTCAGTCAGTGAAACGTGACTGATAGGAAGCTGTTTAAGAACTTAAAGCCAACTTTGGTCCTAATTTTATCCACCTGTAAATATTTAACATTTGAGTACAAAAGTACAGAACAAGGTTCTCTAGTCATTCCCATTGATTTTGTATCCATGGTGATATATTATACAAATACATATTAATGATGCTATTGATGATTTTCAAACCATTGAAACTTCATGTTAAATTGAAACTAGCACAAAGACATTTTAAATATTGAATCTGAGAAATGTCATCGCTTTTGAAAAATTGACCAAATTATGCACTTGAGTTCAGGGGTCTACTTAATCATATAATACATTTCAAAATGTGTGTGAGAAGTCGTTACTGCAGGAAGGCCAGTTTATCGCCCTTACTCTTTAACTAAGGAACCAGGCGAAGAGGTGGGGGAAAAAAATCAATACAGCATAATATCGTGATGTTTTGTGTGGCGATATTGTATATTGTATTAATTAATGGCCGCCAAGTATCGATATTTTTATTATATTAACAGCCAATGTGCTTTTCTTTTTTAACTGCTGAAGGGTTGCACAATTCATTTCGAACAAGTTGCATTGTTAAGAATTCATGTTCAAGTTCGACTAGACTGAAATACCAACAGTTCAGATTGTGAGGTTCACGCAGCCTTTGACAGGGTTTTACTTTTATCACACTGTTGGTCAGTCTGTGGGCTTGACTCCCATCGAGGAGAAATCAAAAGACTGAAGTGAGATGAAGAGAATGAGAATTTTCTTACTTGACAAAACAGTTCTTGATTTAGTTTAATTTTGTGGATAATATGCAGTTAAAAAAGTTAAATCACAATATATTGTATCGCAATTCTCAGCATATTGTAAAATGTTTAAAACCACAATAATATCAACTTGTGACTCAAGTATCGTGATAATATCGTATCGTGGGGCCTCTGGTGATTCCCACCTCTAATATACAGAGTGTGATTTGCCATTGTCTTGAGCAGTCAACAGAGAAGAGACATAAAAAGTTAAGTACATGTGGCAGGTAACCCATGCTATGTGCACTAATGCACCTCCATACCATCAAGGGTGCTAGCTTTTGAACTGTGCACTGTTAACACGCTGGTTGCTCCCTCTCCTTTATAACCCAGAGAACACACCATGTATGATTTCCAAACAGAAAGACTTCAGGACAGTTTTCCACTTTCGTCTCAGTCGATTTTAAATGAACCTGAACCCAGAGAAGGCGGAAGCATCTCTGGATCTGGTTTATATATGATTTCCTATTTGCATGGTAGAATTTGTGAATTCAGCGATGAGCTGTGTTTACAAACAATAGTTTTTGGATGTGTTCCTGAGCCCATGATTTGATGTCACCTGCAGAATCACGCTTTTCTTTTTTCAAAGCAGGGCCATCTGAAGGCCTGAAGATGACGGCCATCCAATATTGTTTTTTGGCCTTGTGTCCTTTAACTAGAGATTTCTTCAGATTATCTTAATCCTTGAATGACCTTATGTACTGTTGACAATGAAACCTCCAGATTCTTTTCTATTTTATGTTAAAACATTATTCTTAAACTGTTCCACTATCTGCCAGCAAAGTCTTCCACCCCTCCCAATTCTGACTTCAAAAAGACTCAGCCTCTCTGGAATGCTCACTTTATTCCCAATCACGTGACTAACCTGTTGAAAGTCGACCTCATAAACTTTAAGATATGACAAAAATGTAAGCATTTCACAATAACAGTCTTTTGATGTACTGACCCAACTTTTTCTGAAACGTGTTGTCAGGCGGCAGAACATTTGAAATGGGGAAAAACAATCAAATTTACTATTTTCAACGTTTCATATGTTGTCTTAGTGCTGTTTCCAATGTTTTACTAAATCCACACATTCAGTTTCTATAAACATTTTACAAAATGTCCTAACTTTTTTAGAAAAGGGGTGGAGAGAGGCACTGAGGAATACCACTAAGACAAAAGCAGTGTTAGGCTATTTCAGTGGTGTCCAAACTGTTTTTCTTACGGGCCAAAATTGTCGTGTTAGAATCGCTCACGGTTTTGTTTTTTAAAATATAGTTGAAAAAATAGCTTTGTAGATCAGAATCAAAAATATTCTAAAGAAACCCTTTAATAAGCTCGCTAAAGAAACCCTTTAATAAAAGGAAATCAAATATTTTGATTTCTTCGTTCTACTTTATTTGTTTTTTTCTCTCAGAATCAAACCTGTAACATGGTTCATTTTTTTGGAAAATCTTTCTGCAACAGTCGGCTTGTTTGCAAAAACTTTGCATACATTTTTTTTTCATAGTTTACAAAAAAAATGTGGAAAATGGTAAAAGCTGTAGATTTAAAAAAAAAAAAAAACAACAACAACAACATACATGTTACTGAACTATTTTAGGAATATTGTTCAGTTCTTGTTAACATGAAAAAGAAAAATAAGATAATGTGCCAATCTTAATCGAGGCCTCGGGCCAAAATCTTCTGATTCTTCATTTGAAGTCAGGGGCTGCAAAAAATCCCCTCAAGGGCCGCAAATGGCCCTCGGGCTGCACTTTGGACACCCCTGGGCTATTTTGTAGGGTACATTAGTGCAAGTCTTTTCAAATACATCTTGATCAATCAAGCGTGGGGGTTAACCTTATTCAACACTAACCTTTACTCTGTCTGTAGCAATAGGCTTGTCCTTTGAAGGCCTCACAGTCTACCATTGCCAGAACTGTTTTAGGCAGCAGAAACACTTTCTGAAAATAGATACAAAGTACACACGCGGGTATTTAAACATGGGTTAAGTGTTTCTTTTCACACATAAATGGCTGTACAACATTGCACCATGATATTTGGGTTAATGCAGTATTTGTTTTACCTCCACCTCCTCAGCCAGGATCCCGCAGAGAGCATGGACCCCTGCGTCTGAAGGTCCACATGCAGACACCCAGGTGAGCTGCTGCTGAGTCCTGAGCACTCTGCGGGCACAGTTTCTCCACAGCCTGCACACACTGAGGACACACACACACACCAACACACTCAACTTTACCTTCTAACTTGGGTGACAACTTAGTAAAACAGGAAGCTAGCTCTATAGGTTTGTCAAACAAACAAAAAACTGCTACACTAGCTCTGCAACTTTCATGCATGTCTCTAAAAAAAAATCACTTTCACTTCCATGATGGTGCCACAGAAATGTTCGTAAGCTAGGTTGATCATTTAGCATACAAACATGCTCGGTTACCTCGCGATGCGGAGAAGCGACCTGGTTGGTACGAAGGTCAGAATTCGCTCAACAACTTCTGCGACATTGCTGAGTACGTATGCTGCCTTGCTGTCCTGTAAAGAGAAGGCAAACTCTTCGTTTTCATCCATATTTCTGCCTCAAGTCGTAGAGTTCTCCAGCACGGCTCCTCAGCTACGAACTTTCACCTCTGCTCTTCTTCTAGCGCTGCGGAGAAGGTGTCTGCCTGGGGGGGGGGGGGGGGGGAACACCGCCCTCTGCGGCGTGGAGGAGCTGTGGCACTTCATCGATCTCCATGTCATTGTTAACTGGCCTTTAGTGTCCTGATAGATTTTTTAATATAATATATTAATGTTTTGTTTGAGATTGATAGTTGGACAGGAAATAACTTACTTGGAAGGTTAACATGTATATTTCCACCTTTATGTTTCTCCTTTGTCACCCCGCTGTGCTTTCAAATAAACTTCTACAAGAAAAAACTCTGGATTGAAGTGCAACCAATTCATGTCCATACTGACATCACAACCACTAATAGGAGTTAAAATATGACATCCTTCATTTAGGGTGTTACAAACAATAAAAGGGTTTCCAATGTATAATAATAATAATAATAATAATAATAATAATAATAATAATAGTCACTGCAGCAGTGGTGATCTGTAAAAAACAACCACTGAGAAGTAATAGCCAATGTTTCCCACAGTACTACATACTGTAGTGTTTTGGTATTATGAAATATAAAAGCAACTCTTTGAATGTGCACTAATTTGAATTGCTCAAATGTAATCAGGTCTCATAAGAATTAATCTTGTGTAATATATAACAGCCACAGCCAGTAAATTATGTTGATGTCTCCCAAAACCAACAACACCATTTACATGTTTGTAATAAAGCCAGAATTCCATTAAATGATACTTGATCCAACCATTTATTCATTATCTTTACATTTCCAATATAAAATAAGAAACACAAAAAAACAGACAAGAAATCAGTTCCCCATGATGATCAGAGAAGTTAGTACAGTGCACAAACATTTTTCACTTGGCTGAACAAAACCGCACGTTAAAGCAAATGCATGAACAAGTCCCTCCTTGTTTAGCTGACAGTTTACATCACAGACCAAGAATAAATGCTTACAATGCAGAAAGAACAAAGACAGACAAGCAACTTTACAAAAGCACGTAATAAAAGTCCCTTTTATATAACATTGGCTTTGCAAATGGCTTTGTTCACGCTGATTATGTGCACCCCCAAAAAATGTGCAAATTGATGTAAATGTAAACTTATTGTCAGTTAAATGTTTTGTACATCTTTAATAACAGTGTGTGACAGACTGTGGTGTAACCTCAGCTCACTGAAGCAGTTTGTATCAGCTTGTTTCTTCAGGATGACAAGATCAGACGACACACCTAAAGGTATGTCCTAACATCACTTTAGCAGCCTTATGAGAAAGTCAGCCATATTCAGAGCTGAGTAGGGTGCAATGTGGGGAGGGGGGACAGAGCGGGTCAAAGGTTAACTATCTCCATTAGAGTCCGATCCATCTGCTTTACGCTCAGGCCCTCTTCTTTAGTGCGTGTGAGTTTATCTGTTAATATAGCATTGCATTGGTTAAAAATGTAAAACACAAACATAAATAGAAACAGACAAAGCCGTGGCTTGAGATAACAAACAGCGTCAGACATGTGCTACATATTGTTATCCACCTTCTGAGTCAGAGACATTTGACCCCTTACATCTTCTATCGAAAAAAGAAACAAGCATTCATTAACCAAATACATTTCCTCAACTTCAAAACTCTTTGTGTATTCTCTGGAAATAACACCCAAGCTATCAACAGGGCTGTGGTCACGGCTGCAGGAGCTGGGTTTAAGACAGTATAGTGGCTGTTTTCCCCTCTGTGGTTCATCAATAGATTGAAATTAAGCTCATGTCATCATACAGTATCAAGTCTGAGCAACCTCTCCAAGAGATTTCTGGACATACAAAAAAATAAAATAATAATCAAACCTTAAGACGGCAATTATTTTTGTTATTAGTAACACATACATGCCCTTTTAAAATCGACCCTTTGTTTGAATTTAACACAAAAGCTCTATTTAATTTTTCACAAATGCTGTACCGACTGACAGTTTTCCATAAAATGTAGCATTGCAGTGGTTCACATGGGCAGTTCTGTTGTTTAATAGGCCTGTTAGACATTCTTTCCCATCATAAATGACTATAGAGATATATTTCTAACTGCTACTCGGGCTATATAGATATGTTGCCAGTTCTCTTCCTATGTACCAATGATCAGTACTGCATCCCTGCTGCTACACAACAAAGCACACTCCCTCTTCCAGTAACACTTTTCAGATTAAAGTGAATAGAGGAAGGAAGTGTTCATACTCTTTTAAACTCAGAGATCGTGGTCTCTAGTCTGTTGAATGTACTCGTGCTCATTAGCCCTGGAACAGGACTAGACTCAAAACTCAAGCATCAAAATAAATAAAAAAACAAGTTCAATCGCTTATCCGTGCTAAAAGCTGAAATCGTTGCTTCGTGTGCATTTAAGTCAAAACTTAATTATTTCTGTTTAACCTTTTATCTTTACAGAGGGGGGGAGGGGGGGCACTAGCACCAGTACCAACCTCTATCGCTTTAGCAACAACACCAAGCAGACTTCTCCTGATCTCGTGTGCTACAGCCCCGTGGATAACCGAGGAAATATATCACGTTCATTTAGCAACGTTTGTGAACATAAGGTTGTGTGACCTCCTACCTCAGACTGTGATCATGCATAATGTGAAAACCTTACTCAAGTACTCCTGCTTACTGGAAGCATTTCTTGGTTGAACCTTTGTGTCAAAGACATAATTGTCTACACTCTTATATAGCACAGCATTAGACAACCTGCCTGACTGTTGGAGTTTGAGAAGGAAGAAAGCGTACGAGAAGCCCTCCCAGTTTAAGCCTCATTTAGGGCAACTCTCAGTTCATTGGTGAGAAGTCGGTTTTTCTCAAGCTGCTTGTATAGATGGTCTTGACAGTCAGAAAGCAGGCAAGAGAAAAGGTAAAGAGACAGAAGGCATGTTAGTATAAAACACAAAGAATTACAAAGAGTTAGTAATGCCTGAAAGATAATCCCACAACTCTTAGTTTGTACTCAAGCCTCTGAAAAACCCTGAGAACAAATCAAAGGCACATTTACACACTATGGTAAGTATTGAGTCTGTTGACCGCTGGGCTAGAAACACAGATATTTGTTTTACTACTTTTTTGTGTTTTGTACAGAGAAATTAAGTTTTTCTTGAGGATATTAAGAGGCATACTTATCTTCCTTTAAACAGACATGGAGACACTTGTAACCATTGTTAGAATGTTTTAGTAAATACTTACATTTCTTAGTTATTAAATTGATTCTTTTGGTCATCACAGTTTATTCGAGATATAAGCGTTTGGAAACAACAGTAAAAATGTCAGAATAAACTATCTATGAAAGCATAAACATGTCCCTCAGGAACCCACAAAACCAGAAAATGTGGAACGCTATTTTTTCCATGACTAAAATAAATAAATTAAAAATAATGCCATCGTACCAACAAGCTGTCCTCTCAGATACAAAAACAAAGAGTGAAGAAAAGAGAAGCTCAGATTTTATTTCAAAAGCTACTCAACAAAACAAAATGAACTCATAAAAGACACAAAGAAAAAGAAGATGGGACAAATGGAAATAAAACAACATTGCAGGAGAAAAGGGGGACGGTGCTATCATAGATGGTAGAATGTTTATTTTACAGAAAGCGAAACGGCTCAACGGTCTGGATAAGGGATGAACAAATGGATGGCAGCGGCCACGGCCCAATGTGGAGAAGTAAAGAAATACAGAGACAGAAAGTGGAGCTGCGCTGCAGAGGAGAGAGATGGTGATGCTGCTTAACCAGCTTCTGGGATGAAGAGTGAAAAGATTTAGCTGTGGGGGGGGAAAAAAGAACAAAAGTGTTGGGAGATATAAACAGAAGAATGGAAGATGAATGACATGCAGAAACAATAAAAGGTAAGGGGGATGCAGAACGGAGCAGGAAGAGTTAAAGAAAATCTTAATGAAGCCCGTTGAGAAATGGGATTTTGGACTCTTTAAGGGGAAACAAACACTACTACTTATTATTGTTAGTTGTTATGAAGTCAATTTTTCAGAGGGGGGGGGGGAATTTAGTCTTAAAACAGTCAAAAACTCTCCTATAGATCACACAACTCAATGTAAGATAAGCTAATTTAAAAAAAAAGCAATCCACAATGTAGCATCAAGAAATTCACTGCACTCAAACATGCCACTAGAGGGAGCTACTGTGTGCTGTCACAATAGTTAGAGGAGGTGAGCTCTAAGGCAGAGGTTCAGAAACAAGAAATGTGCTGAATTACATGGAGGTCATGTCGTTGAGGGCGTGGTCCAGCTCCTCGCTGATGGCCTTGTACTTCAGTTTCTGGGCATACAGCTCGTCTATTGTGTGGTAATTATCATGAAGTGGCAGAGAAGGATGTGCAATAAAATAAGACAACAGAAAAATGACAGGGTCAGAAAACAGAAGTGAAACAGAGAAACTGAAAAAAAAAAAAAAAAAAAAAAATAAAGGGCAGGACAGAAATAGTTGATGCACAGGGAACAGCTGCTGATGCTGTGTTAGATTCCTGAGGAGTCACAGAAACTATCTCACATGTTCCGTGACCCTATGACGACTGCTTGGGACTGCTCGGCCTTGAACAGTCACTACAATAGAATGCCAAACGCCACTGTGGTGAGAGATATTGCTGCCGACATGAATAATGTCACCCCAGCCTCTGATCATGGACTTATTTTTTCCCACCTATAGACAACTGACGGTGCATATTCGTCCTGAGGACTATCACCTTGATGACAAATAAATAACCTCACACACACACTGCATTTATTTTTGCAAAAAGAGCAGCATTTTGTCTCATATGAGTGTCACTATGACATATTAGGCTAACTTTGTCTATTTTATGACATCGGAAGAAGAAAAGCTTCCTCTTTGTGTCTACTGGTTAAGCAGTCTTGCACTTGAAACACAGCCCTAGGTTTTGTGGAAAAAAAACAAATATATACAACTGTCTCAAAATCAAGTGGGAAAGATTCATACCCTCAAGGTCATCGATGGTCTTCTCCAGCTTGGCGACTGATCTCTCCGCGAACTCAGCACGAGTCTCAGCCTGAAGGGAGGAACACAGTCAAACATTAGCGAGACACATTAAAAAGGTTTACATTACTAGTCGCGGCCCTGTGGGACACTTAAGAGCCCTTAAGTGCTGTGAAAGAAAACTGAGCATCACTACTTATGAAGAAATACATAACAGTCAGCAAATTTAATTCCAGATAGTAATGAGCATACAAAATACAGGATGGACAAACTGAAGTTTACCAAACCGACTCATTTGAGATTCATGCTGATTTTGGTGAACTCACCTCCTTCAACTTGTCTGTGAGAACCTTGATCTCCTCCTCGTACTTGTCCTCCTTTTGTGAGTACTGTGGTTGCATACAAAGGCCAGAGTTAGGCAAATATACAAGACAAATAAGATTTTAAACATGTTTCATGGGCGTATATTGTGGATTATTCACCGTGAGCCTTTTTGGTTGGTCATCTTACCTTCTCTGCCTGAGCCTCCAGAGACTTCAGGTTGTTCTGCACCGTTTTCAGCTCCTCGTCCAGCTCAGAGCATTTGCTGTTGATTCACGTTTGGTTGGAAAGGCAGAAAGACGCAGCAGACGAAGACACAAAATCACAAAAATAATTTGTAAGAGATTTTGTTTGAAGTGGTGACTTGGGGTAAAGTTTGAAGCTGAAGAAAGCTCTTACCTCTCAGAGAGCTCAGCGCGCTCCTCTGTACGTTCCAAGTCGCTCTCAATGATGACCAGTTTACGGGCCACCTGACGTCACAACACACAAGTTTAGTCCCACTGGCAGACAGGAGGTGGGCAGCTATTGCCAATAAAGTAAAAGAATGCAGACAATTCTCAGCTTCAAGTTCAGAGTGCAGTGAACAGCTGAGAAACTTGCCTCCTCGTATTTGCGGTCAGCCTCCTCTGCAATGTGTTTGGCCTCCTTCAACTGGATCTCCTGCAGCTCCATCTTTTCCTCGTCTTTCATCGCTCTGTTCTCAATAACCTTCATGCCTCTGCGGGACAGATAATGGTGTGGTGGATAGGTAAGTCATAGGCACCAGAGACAATGATTGAATCATTTCCTCTTCCGCCACGAAGATGAGATCAGTCTTAAATATTCACATTGGAATATGTAGACTTTTAAATAGTTTGATTACTATCTGGACAGAATAGATGGACAGACTGGTCTGTGCAGATTAGGTGGGATGTTGATGGTGATGTTTTTGAGTCAGTGTAAATGTATGTATAAACAACACCAATAAGAACATCAGGCATAACATAGAAGTGAGGGGAGTGACTGTATATTTAATGAAGATGCCTTTTACAGTTTCTTCTAAATGACAAAGGTGTCCACTGCTACTAGCAGTTAAGTGTATATTTTTCCACTTGTCTAAAAGCATTCTGTGACAGCAAAAGCCATGTGATCTTAAAAACTTAACAACAGGATGCAACACTTTTCCTGACTGTATTGTCCTGATTGTTTTCAAAAATCTAATCATTCTCTTGACCCTTCCACGAGACTCTTTTCCATAAAGATAATAAGTAATAGCTTAGCTTCTGACTGGGTTGTGTTGACAAAGTGGGAGCTGTGTCCCATGTGCAGCATACCCACCTCTCGCTCTCATCAGCAGCCTTTTCAGCCTCCTCCAGCTTGGTAAGAGCTGTGGCCAGACGCTCCTGAGCACGGTCCAACTCCTCCTCAACCAGCTGGATACGTCTGTTCAGGGAAGCTACATCGCCCTCAGCCTAGGGGAGGCAAAACAAAATCAAATAATCAATGATATTGTTCAAGTTGGCTTTGCAGGCTTCCAACATCTGAAGCCAGCTCATGCTCTGCAAAGAAAGACTGGGATGGGTCAGGAACACGCCCAAGGGAGGGACGCAGGCTCTGATGTGCACATTTCATACATATCCTGAAGGGAGGAGGCATTCATATTAATTGTAACATACATTTGAAATCTAACACACATTAGCGGTCCATTTAAAGAAAAAGGCAACACAAATTGGTCTACCCCTCCTTTCATGTTTGCAGCCTATCCTGCAATTTCCTGTCGGTGACGTATTATCTTGCACCATTCATCTATTAGATAAATATATTATTTTGTGTTTAAACTAGCATGCCCTGCAGGAGTTTTTTTTACACAGATCATGTGGTGGTGCTGCTGCAGCGTTTCCCTAATTGTTCCAGCGCTGTTTGTTTATTTGGGACGTGCCGGGTGATGTCCTTTCATCCATTCAACCAGCCATCCTTACTCACATCCCACTGTGGGCTGATTCCAGACATGTCTACCTGCTACCTGACTGTATTTAGGCATAAACCATCCCTTGTCTGGGCCTAGCAGCCACGCTTTTTGACCAGATTTACGCCTAATGCCGTCGACAGTCTGGACACTAATTGCCTTAAATAATTAGCAGCGGCTTACAGCTTCCCTCGCGCTCCTCTCCTGGTTCAGTTCCCGCTGTACTGACGCCGCCCGGTCCTCCGCCGCATCGGCCTGCTCCTGCAACGACTTGATTTTCTTCTTCACAGCTTCCAGGGAGCTCCCACCAGCCATGTTTAGCTCTTTTGTTTTTTTTTGGTTTCAGCTAAGCTAGTTTTCCCTCTGCTCTGTGCGGGTTGCCTCAACGCAGCAGTCACACACACACACACATACACATACACACACACACTTGGAGACGCGGCTCGTTTGATCCCTGCCCCCACCGCCCTCAATCAAACTGCTGATGAGGATTGGGACGGGACGTGCCACCAAACCCGGAAGTACCCGATCTTCCACGCAAGTTTTATTTTTATTTTTCATATAATAACAATATCTTTATGAATTGTGCTTGTATTTATTGTTATTGAAATTAATTTAATATAATGTGTTATGGTTATTATAAGTTGTAAAACTATTGTGTTCATGCGCTGTTTTGACTGCTTCCCCTCCTGGCAAATTGAGCTGGTCCTACAAATCACAGCTCCAGACACCACACACTGATTCAGTTAGGAGCTAAAGCAGTATAGACAACTAAGTAATCGTGTTCACATAATTGATTAACTGACATTAACAGTATTGGTGTTATTAACCCTATTTGCTCTGATTTGAACTCAAATAGACCTACTTTTTGTAAGCAACAAGTGCAAAAACTGTATTTCATGGTTCATTGTACACTTTACCACCAACTTGCTTTAAGGAATATTCCTTTAGCTGACTTATTTGTTGTGGGAGATTTTTTTCTGCAACTTAATGATGTGATTTTTTTTTTTGGGTGATTTATTGTGATTTTAGACAGAACTATCAAATATTTATTTTGTAACTGTTCATGATGCATATTAGAGGTATCTCAAGATGTTCAGTATTCAGTAGGCTTCTCTGTTAGGAACTTTTTGTTTACCTGCAAATTAATCAATAAAATACCTTTTGGAACAAATTAAGTTTGTCTTGTGTCATTTTATTTCATTGAAAATAAATGTTTTCATTGTTGTTGTTTGTATTGTTGATGATGCAATGTTGCTGACTGTGACTTTAATAAAGTGTAATAGGTAACATTCATTGCAGTCAATAAATTGGTAGTTTGATCAGAACTGGATGTAAGTGCAGAGTGTCAATTGAAGCAGCTACAAATCTATCGAGGATTTTACAGGCCAAATATGCTTGTAAAATGCCCCACTGAAACCCTACACTGATCCTCAGATTTGTCTAAATGGCTGTGGAATGTCCTGGTAAGCCATTTGACCTTATCTTATACAGCACACGCGCTAAATTTAACTATCCATTTTTCTTTATCCCAACACAGCCCTTAAGTCTCTAAATTGATGCCTTCATAATTTAATCATTAAATTAGATCTGTATGGTTGCTTGTAATCTTAGTTTCCCAAGGGCATCCCTTGCGTAGTCAACTATTTGGCAGTGGGTGCCTCAATGAGGCCTTCCCACCAGTTAGCCCAAACTCACGTCTGTGGCTTTCTTCTCAGCCAGCTCCAGTTTTTCCTGGGCATCCTTCAGGGCTTCAGAGTACTTGTCCAACTCATCCTCAGTTGACTTCAGCTTCTTCTGCAATGCTACCAGGTCATCCTCAAGCTGGGGCACAGAAAGACAAGGACACATTTACTCACATGCAGACGACAGATATCTTAGATTGTCAGACACAATCAAAACACTGTAAAGGACACTTCATGTCTTGAAATGTCTCTCATATGAAAAAACAAACATCTTATTTACATAATATTTTGTATAAAAATCCTACAAATACAATTGATCTAAGCTATAGTTGAAGCGGCTTATTGCCTAGATAACATAAATCAAAAGGAATATCAAAGGAACCTTAATGTGACAATTATCCTATTGCAAAATTCATGCATCTTAAATGGGATTTTTTTTTAAAGGTGTATATTATACAAATGAGATTGTTAAACTTAATTGAAGTCACAAATATACGAATCCTTTGTCACAAGACACTGGGCATTCATCACTAGGCGCACCGTGTCACTTGCACCAGTGCGTAAAAGCGCACGGGCGGGTTTGACACTTCATGCCGACCTGTTTGCTCCTGTCCTCAGCTGCCTTCTTGTCTGACTCGGCCTGCTCGGCCCTGTCCATGGCATTCTCCTTGTCGAGCTTGAGCATCTGCATCTTCTTCTTGATGGCTTCCATGGCTGCTTATTGTCGGTGGCTGTCCGCGCAGACCAAAAACAATAGAAACTGAAAGAAAGGATCGGAGCGTCTGAACCACGCTGATCGCCAAGCTGGAGTGCGAGCTCGCCTTGGTAGCAGTGAGTCGAATGTGTACTTTTGATGGGCAGCTATTGGACACCCAATACTTTTTTGGAAACAACTGCAGCTGTTTGCCAACGCGAGACCTGTCTTTTCTTCTAGATCTCCACTGTGATTCGCTCTTCAATGTCATTTGACCACTTCTATGTCTATACATGTGGTGTGGACGTCAGAGAGGCTCTGCCCCCTCACACCAAGACGTCCACTCTTGTTTCTAACACCCCCCTAAGTGACAGGCAGGAGGAAGTGGAGTGTCAAGACTCAGAGGTTGTAGCTCTCCTGAGGAAGGTTTTTTGGGTGAAACATGAAGATAATAATGTCCTATATGACACAGGAAGACATTTCAGAATGTCATGCAGTTTCTGAAATGTCTTCCTGTGTCATATAGGACATTATTATCTTTATGTTTCACCCAAAAAACCCTCCTCAGGACAGAAAGGAAAAATGTAAAGTCATTTTAACAACCGTCTTCACATATTTTATGTATATTTATTTGATCCAACTGTATCTTAATGAAGGTTTATGACACTTACTGAAACATGCTCTCTCAGCACTTGTAATCCCTGAGACAGAGGCTGGTACCATAATGAATTGTAACTGCAGTCCAAGCTATTCATACAAAACAAATATATGTGATTGGATAAGCCCCTGTGGAAGTTCTTCCCCCTTTGTGGGGTGTCATATTAGCCAGAACGGCTTGTTTGTCTTCCACGGATCATTTCAGCAGCTCCCCCTCTGCATAGCTCAACATCCGAGCAGAAATCAGATAGGCTTGGCTCTCCGTAGAAGTATATCATCAAGCTTGTCCAGCTCTCCTCACAGCTAAAACATGCCTGAGAGTTAGATCACAAATGGGCCACAGTGGATAAAGTGAAAAAGATACAGGAGCATTTGGCATTTCAGCAGCCCCCCTCACAGAGCCTCTGTGATGGTTCACAGGGCAGCCGCAGCTGTCACACACAACCTGTAGTCAGGATTGCTGGAGGGTTGAGTAATAATAGTTTACTGTCAACTACAGTAATTCATTTGTCAGCATGATAGGGAAATTGGACCTTGGGATGAATATATTGACGACCAAATATTGCTAAATATATGTTAATGGGTGAAGTGAAGACGATTTGTAGGGAAAGGTTATATACATACACCCCCCCCACACACACACACACACACACACTAATGTTATGTAATACTATACAGTAAGAACAGCCCTCTTGTCCACACAGCCACACTGGCCTAGCTCTCTGTGATTAGACTTCAGCAGCTCCTCTTTCTTTTCTTTTCTTAAGAGAAGCTTCTTTGTAAGTGTTTTGTTAAATGTATAGGTCTATTTTTGGATCTTGGAGAAGCACCTGTTTGACTCTGTCCAAGGCCCCTTTTTCCACTCCCACCCTTAAAGTGCCTCAAATTTTAGAAAAGGGAGACCTTACCTTCCAAAACAGATCATTCACCGTTTTGGTGAAAAAGGCAAAAACAAAAGGCATTGGTAGTAAAAGCCCTTCACTATTTCTCCATTCATGTGTCTTGACTAATCCCAGGATAGCCTTGACCTGATATTTTAAATTATTTCTGGTTTGAACAGCTAGGGAAGAACCACTTGCAGAGGAAAGTAGATTTTGGCTGAATACTGCCTTGTCTTTTGACTTTTGAATTTCTTGACTTTGGCATCGAATTGTTTGTCCCTGATCATCTGTGTTTTATTGTCCTTTGTTTCATCTCTCTGGTGGTCCGCCTGATATCCGTCCTGTGCAGCTTTTTTTAAGGCAGTCAGCTGTCCCTGTGTTGTCATCCTGCCATGTGTTTTGTGGACTGTTTAGCTGCCAGCCAGGCATGCCAGTCATATACAGAGATCAGAGAGGCTCAGGGAGCAATCCTTGTCACCCTATCACCCTGGATAGATGGAGAGACGAACATCACCACATTGTACCTGTCCAAAGCGTAATGATTTACTCAGATGAAGGACTTGTGATATGATTTAGGGTTCTGTGAATGACTCTTCAAACTATAGAGTGCTGAAGAGCACACAGAGGTCTTATTCATTTAACTCAGTTACTTTGTGGTATTCATACCTGCAGTTAAAATCGGGTTATTAAAGGGCGCCACCATATTTTTGTACGTTTACATTATTTGTTAGAGAAAAGTTGACATTTTTTGCCTGTTGTTTCTGTCATGTGCATACTTTCATTTTACATATTTTTACACAATTTTCTTTGCATCTCACTTAATGAATTGGGTTTATATAAAATTGAACCACTTGTTTGTATCTATTTTTAAAGAAATTGGTCAAATATACAATTTACATTTACAAAAAAAAAAGGAAGTCATTTCAGGACCCCAAATTTGCGGCGGATCGTCACTCAGAAAAACTCTCCCTTTTGTTTCTCTACTGTTTTAGAGAAATCAGCATTTCTGTAAAACTGTAAAAGCACAAAGGTAGCACAAAGCAGTTTGAAATGTTCATTGTAAATGTATTTGGGCAGCTCAGTGATTTGCTCCCAGACAAAAGCGGATGTATAATGATATAATTTCACATTTATAGACCGAACCTTCTCATTGCCTTCTTAATAATAAAATAATACATGTGATTCATCAGAGTGTCCGTCTTTCTCAATCAATCTTTATCTCTTTTGTTTCATCACTTATCTCCAACACTTTGCACATGCAGATCTCATGTGTGAGGTCAGGTATAAATATCAATGATGATGAGTGAGATGATGAGTACAGTGCTTGTTCCAGCATGACATAGGTGTGTCATTTTCCACCAGAGGAGGAACAACCTGATGTGACAATGATCTTTATATGTATATAAAAGACAATGAAGAAAACAGAGACAGCTAAATAGAAGAAAGAATTCAGAAAGTGTTTGTGCCCACAAGTCAGGGCAGGTCATCTCAGATTAAATACAAGTGCTTCTTTGAACTTCTAACCTTTCTGTGCAGTCGTCGGTAACTGGACCCACTTTCTGACGTTTATCATAATTAGATTAAGGACATATAAATAATGGCTGTCTTCTATCAGCTGCTTGTTCACATTAAAATACATATCCCATGTCCTTTGAGCCAGGGTTTCTCTGTCCCCCTCTCAGCCAAGTCAGTTTAACAAGGCCTCTAGTTACAAGTCTGATCAAATAACAACTTGATTATCTTTAAGAGTCACTAAGATTTACATTCCTGTCACTTAGAAGAGAATACACACATAAAAACATAGTGTACAAACTTTAAGGGAAAATGACAGTTTTTAGAAGCAGCGGCACAGGAGCAGCTGTGACTCATGTATATGACATTGTCGCCTCAAAATTTAGTGCCAGACAAATTTAGACCAGGTCTTTGTTCATAGCATTGGAACCAATATAGCTTCAAGTTTAGTGCTGACTCAGAAATACCATCTTGTCCTGACACTAAACTGACACAAACACTTACATTGTCCCATTGCCAGAAATCACCCCTGTGTTGTTCACTGAGGCTGAATAACTTCTGCAGCCTGCCAGTGCTGCGGAGACACTGAACTGGATGTTTCATATAAACCGTAACCACACTGTCATGACAATCATTGAGCAGGGAACTTAGTCCTTTGTCCTCAGTCTGAACATTATTACTTTCTGTATAACCAACCAAAGTTGGTGTTTTGAATGGAGGACTTTAAACTGTCAAATGTCAAACTTTCTTATTTCATGTTCATTAAAAAAAATAATAGATCAGCTGAGAGCTGCAGTTTGACAAAAATGTAGTCAGAATATTCAGTTTGTGTTACACTGAATATTCTGACTATTTTTTGTCAAACTGCAGCTCTCAGCTGATCTATTTTTTTTATCTATATTGTGGTATCTATTTTTTGCACATTTTTTGTTAAATAATTAATTAAGTTTTCTTTTTTATTTAAATTGTGCCGTGTTCACTTTTGTTTGCAATCTTTGCTCTTTGCTGCTGTAACACTGTAAATGTCCTTGTTGTGGGATAAATAAAGGATTATCTTATATGAAGGTTCCCAGCGCTGTCCACTTTATCATGCTGTATTCCCAGAAGTGGGTTTAGAGACGTTTTATCCTTTAAAACTGCTGAACTGAGTAAACTGATGTACTATATTATATGACACAAAAGGACAGCATCCTGAATACATTTAAGAAGAGTTTGTATTCCCTAAAGTTAAATGTTGCATAAAAGCTTTCTAATTTTGAATTACATAGAATCTGGGACTGCAGTGGCTTTTGGGACGGCAGAAGGTCCGTCTGTAGGAAAGTTGGTTGGGAACTGAAGGGTCTGCGGTTAAAGTTCCAGTGCAGTCCATAGTATGGAAATTGGGAGGGATTGCTGCAGGGGTGTGGATTAACTTCCCGGTCACTGGCAAGGTGCCCTTGAGCAAGGCTCTAAATCCCCAATTTCTCAGGGCGTTTGTTCGTGTGCCGTCCCTTCACTCTGACATCTATCAGTGCATACGATCCAGTTTGAGCATGTGTGTGTATTCTTGGCCCAAGTATGTGTACCATGTTCCATAAGAGTTAAAAAACCCTAAATTTCCCCTCACTGATTCATAAAGTATGTCTTCTTTTTTATGAATCTTCTCAAAGGCTTCTCAGCCTGTTGAATGAACTTTAAGAATCAACTTAAATTGTACTCCCTTCAGTTTGTTCTACCCAATACATTTGAACAGAAAATACAGAGGACCTTACTTCAGTGTCCTCAATAGTAGACCCTGACTGTTACTGACATTTAAGCTCCTGAGAGACATACATTTGGTTTTGTGGCCCAAATAACTTTGAAGTCAAACTAAGTCTGGGAAGTTTTCTTTCTTCCCTTAAGTGTCTAAATCTGCCAAAAAAATTGCTCCTGGGTTTAGAATGAGAAGTAAGGTTTTGAATTTGTTGGTTAGATCACAAATGGGCATCCATCCGTTCTTTTTTATGATGGGGAAGAATTGTATTTTGAAGTGTTGGTGCCTTCTGTCAAAAATAATCATTTGACCATTTTAAATGATACTGCTTTTTGATCACAAGCTTCCGAGTGGAAGGTGACCTGAGAAGGTACCTGGATGAAAGAGTCCTAATGAACATTATGGAAATGTAGTTGATGAAGTGTTTCTGGACAGAGGTTGTGATGTCAAATGTCTTTGTTCAACAAAAGAACATGCAGAGTTACATTGAAATGCTTTATTTATCATGAATACAAAAAATAGTTTTATTGAGGCCAGATAAATATCTTTTACACTATCTTATCACTTATCTTCACTTTATTTCTGTTAAGGGAGGGAGAACGTACTGAACACTTCAAATACTCCACATCATTGAAATGCGCCACAACATCTTAATGGTGACAGATATATTGAAATGTTTGATCACATCTAAATCTTTCAGAGGCTTCAAAGCACAGGAAAGAAAGCCTGTCCATAAAATTAAAGTGACTTCATAAACGTACAGTAAAGCACTTGACAGAGTTCAATCGTCCGTCCGTCGTAGTTTAGAAGCACTGTGGTACATGGCCATGGAATGCAGTACAAAATGTGCAGTATATGTTTATGTACTGATGGTACACGGCAACACATTTTTTGACTGGTGGACAGTTCTTCTGTAGTCCTTAAAAGGCCTTTTAGAGAGAGTAAGAGTTGTTGTTTCAGCACTTAGAGGAACTTCATGTGAACAAGTGGGACAACAAATCAAATTAAAAAAAAGAAAGAAACACAAACATGATCCTACATTCCCCCCAAAACAGTTTGTTCCAGTACCTTCCTAACCGATGAGGTGAAACTGTCACTCAAGCAGACCAGACACTGTATGGGCTACGGACTAAGGCACTAATAATGACACTACAAACTTGAATGATGAGCAGTGGACCCCCACCCCTCTGCCCGCGTCGACCCTTACCCCTCTCTCCAATAAATCAGTACAAATACAATGCCAAAAAAAACCACCTCTGATTTCAGACCTAACTGTTAAAAAAGAAAAGTGATTGTGTGGCTTCACTTGTTGTCTATATACTGTCTGTATGTGGAGGTCAGGATCACTCAGTGCATTCCTTAAACTTGAGCTCTGTTGCCGTATAAACGAGATGCATCTGAATCACAAAGCCATGCATGTTCACAGCAGGACCTAACCTTACAATATAATGTAGTTTAATATTGAAACACAGCCCACAGAGTAAGACGAAAGGAACCAAACACACTACAATCAAACTTGGTTAACAAAAAAGGCTCCTATATTGTAGAAAACGGTATATCCAGTAAAGTCTTACAGAGCACCCTTAAATTCAGAGACTGAAGGAGATGAACTGCAGTGATTAGTGTTGCAGTCACTTCACTGATTTTAACATCAATTCTAACAATTTCTATTCCTTACAATTCAGTTATTGCCTCCAAATAGGTTTCAGATTTCTTGTTTCGCTCCCTCCTCAACTTACAAAGTAGGAGGGTGGTTAAATTGGTTCCCTGGCAGTGACTGAGTATTGCTGGAAAAAAGACTGTATTCGCTCTCCAACAGCAGGTACAAAAATCATAGAGGGAAGGGCCAAAGTGAATCTACAGGCAGCCGACACCATTGGACAAAGCACAGCAGCGGCACTAATGCTTGAGGTATTTACATGTATTCTCAGTTTGCATGATGTAAAAGCCAATATAGTCTCCACAATCTCATCTGTTATATTATCCCTTTAAGTTTGCATGCTGTAAGGGAAACCAATACTGCCCCCTAAAGCACCATCCATGTTATTGCATCATGATCAAATTCTACTTTCACTGTATGAAGTTCCCAACACCTGAAATACTAAAAGATAGAAAAAAGGTTGAAAGTATTGGGGACAACGTCTGGCTCGGCTCGTGATGTTAAAGACTATTTCTGCTCCAGAGAGATTCCTCTCTGCTAAAAAATAACCAGGAGTAATAAATATTCCTTCTACATTAATACCTATATTTAAAGGCAAAGACAAGCATGTTGAATTTGCTGCATGTTAAAAAAGACATTGTGTAGAGACTATCCTTTTCTGCAATAAAAAACAACATGATAAGTACAGAGGCTTGTACAGCTGTCTACTTTAAAGGATGATTGCCAAAAAACAGTGTTTCATTATGGAAATGTACAATATTGAAACACCAATATATTAAGTCCTTCATATTAGTGTTAATGACCATCACTTGATATCACAGATATTAGATGTGCCAGAAGAGAGAGTGAAGGCCAACATTCATACAACATCAGAGCAGAAATCATTTGCTCTGTGAGTGAGGCTGCAGTTAAATGGCTTTATCAAATAAACAGTGATACAATCAATTCTTCATCTTATATGAGCTAGAGCTGCAATCTGTCAAACAAAACGAAAGAGAAGCTGTAGCTTACGGGCAAACATGAGAGCGTATGAGCTGAACTGTTTGTCCTAAAGCATGTCACATTCTGGTTCAGATGATTTCAGTCAAAGTAGTTGTGCTAAACATTGAGGACAAAAAACAAACAAACAGTTCTTCAGTCGATCTCTGTTACTCTGTTTTCAGGAAGTAGCCAGTTCCACACAGTAGTATTTCAGACATGCTATAGTTGACTTTAAGATCTCTCCATGTGACGTTGACTCTGGTCACTGCAGACTTGGGCATAACTGGTGTGTTGAACATATCTGAAGTCTCTGTAGGACACGTACCTGTTCATTCAAGAGTGCCTTTAAAAAAGGACGCAAAAAAACACACACAAGACAGACACAGGTGTGCTCCTCCTGCTGCTTTAAATGTATGCATCAGCAGCGATGGAGATTTTGAATAATTAGTTGCCGTCCTCTCGTAGCTCGCTGGGCAGGAACTTGTACTGCTGCTGCCTGATCTGAGCCAGTTTCTTCCTCGCTTCTTCCAGCTCTCGCTCCTTCCTCAACATCTCCTCCTGAGCTGCTATGATCTAATGGACACAATCACATCAATTTTCAATAACTTTATAATTTAAATGATTTAATAACATTTTCATTTTATTATGGAACAACTTGATATGTGAAGTTTTCCAAAACTGCTTTTAGCTCAAAGGTCACATGTGCTGTTAATCTTTTCTTATGGCTTCCTCTATGGCTGCTGTGTCTGTTCATTTCTTTGAGTTTATCTACTGTACCAAGTTCATTGTGTTTGTGTGTGCATTCAAAAAGTGCTATGCTCCATTGCTCACATGTTCTTGCGTATTTAAATGCTGCATTTGCATACTGCAAGTATTTAAACAAGGAAGGAAAAAGTATTTTTTTACTGAGAATGTGAAGACAACAGGAAGTATGAATAAGAAAGTTACATCTATAATACTTAAGTGAGAACAGAGGGTATTTAAATCAAAATCATTTTTTTTAATTGGTCATTTATAACTTGGTGTTAACAAAAAAGAGAAAAAAGTCACATCAGGGTTAAGGTGTAGATGGTTAAGATTGCAGGTTGACCTGAAAATAAGCGCCAACTTCCTGTTCAGCAAAAGCAGCTTCTCATAGCATCGAGTGCTGCTCAACATTCTCACCTGTGCTATTCCACCCACAAACTTTGTCTTGACCACCACGTTGTCATCGTCTGCTTTGTCAAACGCCGCCTTCTGAGCTGCCCGCACCAAGTTGTCCGAAGCCTTCTTAACTGCATTTCCCGCAATCTATCGCAGGAAGAGATCAGTTAGTTGAATTGAATTAATCACGATCATGCTGTTAAATATGAAGCCTACTAAAGTGTACGGGTAAACAACGACTGAACTGAATTGATTGACCAAATTCTCTTTGTGGTGTGATATGTGTCTGGTCTGTACCTGTAGTCTCCTCATGGCTTCAGAGTCCTGGTCAGCCTTCACCTTACAGGCCACCAGCAGCTGGGCAGTGGAGGCTGCCACCTGTTTGGCTGAAGAGATGAGCTTCTCCTCACTTGCATGGCCTTGCACTGAGGCATTGGCTGCCTCACACAGGTTGCTGGTTGCTGCTGCAACCATACGCGCCTGGCACAAAGAGAAAAATCAATTAGCAAAATGCAACTCTGCAAAAATGCAGCTCTGATTATTAACTGCAGCGAAGTGAACACTTACAGCAGAAATGAGTCCCTGGGACCACTGTCCGTCGTCCACTGCGTTGGCAGGGATGAGGCCCACTTTGCCCTGAGCCACCAGCTCTCTTTGGGCAGCAGATGCAGATTTGACCAACGCACTGGTGGCTGCAGCGATGGACTTGGCTGCCTCCAAGATCTGCTCCTCGAAATTCAAAGTCTCGTCTGCCTGCTGAGGGGGAAGGACACCAGTGAGTAAGACAGGCTTAAGTATCTTTCCTTTAAAACAATACTTCTACAAGTTTCACTGTGTCCAGATCCACGTTGGATATACGAGTCAACGTTAATTGTATTTCAGTGTAGAACTTTGCATTGAAAGGAGTTACTTTAATTCACAATCCCCTTTTTTCTATTGTACTTCGTTACAACATATCAACCATCTTCTCAACGATACCGACACACTTTTTAACCAAGACGTAACAACTCTCAAAAAGTTCCCACAGCCAGATAAAAAGCATTCTTATAACTGCAACAGCTGATAGATAGGAAGCTGGATGACGATTAAGAGCAAACACAAGACTCTGCACGAAGGTTATCTGTCAGTACGACACATCTCCACTCATACTCTAGTCTGTCATTTGTAAAATCTCACACACACTTCCACACACAAACACATACACACCACAAGTTTGTAGACAGAGCGGGACACTGTAGGAATATGTTTGATATATAGTTGGGACTGAATAACAACCTAATATATCAAACATATCAGACAGAGCCCTGCAGAGAAGGCCTCCACTGGTGGGGACAGGCAGGGAGGGAGGGGAGGGGTTAACTGGGAGCCAGAGGACAGGCTTTAGCTACATCTAATACAGATGGACGGATGGGTGGGTGGACGGATGGGTGGGTGGGTGGATGGATGGATGGATGGATGGGTGGGTGGATGGATGGATGGGTGGATGGGTGGATGGATGGATAGGTGGATGGATTTGAGGAAGAAGGGGGGGAAACATGGCAGATGTTTTGAATGGAAGAAGGGGATATGACTGAAGGGGGTATATTATGGAGAATGTGGAGAAGTATCAGTCATTGAAAAATGGGTATGGATCCGATGAACTGGTTCAAACACGAGTGTCTGTGGTTGTTATGGGACTTCTTGGTTAAGCTGGGAACTAAAATTAAAGTCAAAGAAAATTTGATGGGATAATGTAATCGGGGGGAGGAAAGCACAAGACACAGAGCAGCCTTTGTGAGAAACAAAACAAAATGTGTCATTTTGTTACGGTGACGTCTCCCAACAATACCACTGACACGTGATATAAACACTGAGTTGTTTACAGATAAGCACAGCACATTGAATCAGGCTATAAAGCTTCAACACATCGCTACAAAAGCACGTGTCTAATATTCACTGTAGAGTCCAAAGACTGCACTACTGGTGATCAATATATCCAATATTTGGTATTTTATTGACTGATAGCTAAGATGCTTGAGATTATATAATGACACTTTGTACTGTATACCTAAGAGACCGTTTCATCTGGAAATTCTGATACAAGAAGCTGTCAGCTAACGACAGAGTCCTACAGGAGCAGCATGGAAACCTTTCAACATAAGAAACCGAGAATTGTATTCATTTTTTAATTTAAATTAATGTAACTTTGTATCACTATTCCACAACATTTCAATGGTAAATACTGTATTTACAATCAAACTTAACTTATTGACAGCTGTATTTATTGTAGTTTTTGTTATGATAAAAGTTAAATAAAAAAAAAAGACAAACCTACAAAAATACTAAATGAAAAGCACTAATTTGTGCAGCATGACTTCAAAATCTTGTCACTTTCTCCTAAAAAGTTTTCCAAACCACTGCAGTCATCCAGTGAGCCTGCCACCTGCCGCAACTTTAACCATTTTGGGACTTTTACTTATAGCTGCTGAGGAACTTTGATTTTGTGTTGATCTTGGCGAGCCCTGTGGAAAAGGCAGTACCTTTATCTCTTAGCTGATCCTGTCGTGTACATGTGGACGTTCTGACAAAAAATCCCATCCTGCTCATTTTCTTAATATATAGTTCATCTTGTGGCTGATGGTCTCATTTGCTTTTGTAAGTCGCACAGAGCGATCAGACTTATTTAAGTGTATTTTATAATCAGTTAAAAACAGCAGCCTCAGGTTACTCTTGAATACCGGACTACTACATGAAATGAATCGTCTCTATATTGTTGTGTTTGTCATTTACTTAGATACTTCGGGGAAATTGTACCATTAAACACATCTTCATATGTAGCCAATTTCCAAAAACCCCCTACAGACTTCATGTCTAGATATGTTGCTAATAATCCTTTTATTATTTCACTTTGAGGAACTTTGAACTCAAAATGTTTACAGGCAGTTGAGTTTTACATTGAGATCCAAAGGATCTATAAACTTCCACCACTATTGTCTACAATCTATACATTTCTATTAAACATTATATCATTTTACGAGTTTATACCCTCATTGGATACAGGGTACAGGGTTTCATAGTCTCTGTGAGTAATCAGTCTTGCAGTCACCCACCTTGGGCTTAGCTCGGGGTTTGAGCTGCTCTAGCTTCTTAGCTGCTGCTTCGATGGACGCCGCTGCTCCCAGGAGCTCTGTTTCTGCAATCACTGTCGGATCCTCTGGGTCAACCCACTCTGAACCTGAGGGGAGCATGCATTCATGCAATTAGGATTAAGACTTTATTTGAAACATTGGATTTCAAAACAGTGTGTCAAAAGGTCATGCCTTGCAACATAAAACCCTGAACCCCATGCAGAGCTGAGTGACCACACACACAAACTGCCATTCACTAAAATGAAAAAAAAAAGATGGATTTTTTTGACTTGACGGCACGTAAATCAAAGCGTGAGGGATGTAGCTGACACTGCGAGCGGCTTGATTTCACAACGAGATGAAATGAATCGATGTTAGCGCTTAAAATAAAACGTGTTCAACAGCTCAACTCTGGTGAAATGAGTCACAGTACACAAAACAACACCAACTTACCTCCATCTGTAGCAAGAGAAGGAGGACAGGAATATTACTAAAGGTTTCTTTTACTTGTTTTCTACAGTAAAAAGGATTTCTCTTTCAGATGAAGAAGCTTCCTACATAGACATGGACTTTGTTAGACAGATCTTTAGTGAGGGATAAGAGGTTATCGCTTACTGATGCAGACTGAGTTCATCATTTTTAACACTGAAGAAGAAGTCCAAGTGTGGGGTGTGGTGATGGGGTCTGTGTGTGTATGTTGTTGTGTACTTGCTTATGATTACCTTTCATGGCCTCAGCGGTCTGGATGAGCTCTGTGACGGCTCCAGCCACTCGTTTGGAGCATGCCGCCAGCTGCTGCTTCTGCTCTGCAGTGGGCTTCTGCAGGACCTGCACACACGTAAACACACACATGCATTGAAAAACACCATATTATGAGAAATGTGGGTTGTACTGAAACAGCATTGCAGAAAGGTTTATGAACAATTCTGAGTATGACCAACACATCAAATATGTCCGATCAAACACAGCACTGAGATAATAATTAATCATGAGCTAAATGTAGAATGCTACAGACACACATGCGGCATCTTGGGTTTCTAATATTTCAAGAGGGCATCATACGCTTTCAAAGGTACTTAGGAACATCAGATGCATGACACACAATTAATCCAATCCCTCAGGTTTTTATCTGAAACAAGAAATCAGAGTGATATTTTTTTTCAGCTGCATAAGGCAGCCTCAAGTGTTGAAAATGAAGCTGAAATGCAAAAACCTGCAGTTCCTCAATTGTCCTCTTGGCTGGCTATAAAATCCAAGGATTACATGAAGGCTAAGATTTTTTCATTTATTCGCCTATTTAGGGACACGGCTGATTTGACTGGGCACATTGTTGCTGTATGACAGGAGGCTAAATACGTTCCTCAACTTTACCTCTTGCTGGAGTCAGCATTTCTAATATGATGACCACCATTGTTTAGCTTCAAATGCATCTTCAGAAACCAATGAGTGATGTCACTGAGCCTACGTCTACGTATCTTACAGGGTAGAATGACATTAACTTATATCGTTTTAACTTTTGAGTGCAAACAAACAGAGCATATATGATAAATATTTATATTAAAATATTAACGTTCAACCCACCAGCAGAACTTGTTCCAGGAGGTCAATGTATCCAGTCGTACACTCTGATCCGAACATCAGCGCTCTGTTCTTCACCTCTTCACTCACCTCTGGATGGTAAGCTGCTTGCTGGAGATACACACATATTCACATCACTATGTTGGATGCATACAAAGCTTGTTTGTGACACATGATTGAACAACTTCATGATATTATCATGTATGATTCTTTCCTGTAGTTAAGGTAAATAATGAACCTTGCAGGTGGTGAGCATGTCTGAAATGGCCTTGCGGCTGAGGTTGGCTGTGTGGATGATGTCCTCCTGCCGGGCAGAGTTCCCTGCAGCCACTGCTTTAGCGGTTGCCATGGTGATGCCCTTAGTCATGCGGATGAACTCCTCAGGTGTGGTTGTCTTGTTAGGAGCATCTCTGGATTGGAATAGCTAGGGACGAAATAGGTGGGTGGCAGTCATTAGTACTGAAGTACTAAACAGATGTGACTAAAAGTGTCTCCAGTTGAACAGAACTAATCCCTGTCAGCCCCATGACATCTTGTGATCAGATTGGTTGAAATGTTAGATCATATTGGTGATTTTACATTACTGCTTGTCCATTATGAATTCATACATATTCCCCTCGAACCACTCCTCACCGCCATTTCTTGTTTGATGCACTCGATTGTTGCCTCCAGCGCTCTGGTGCCCCGAGTGGCTTCATCCTCCACAGCCTTCACAGTCTTCAGCAAGGACGTCACGTTAGTCACCATCACCTAAAAGAAAGTCAGAAGAGATTACACACACAATAAAAAAAAAAAGTAATGAGATGACTAAAAAAAAAAACATAAACCAGTCAACATCACCCAAAGAAAATCAAAGGATATAGAAAAAAGAAAACAAAAACATAATATTAGAAAAAACTAAGATATACCTACATGCAGCCATGGTTCCCACAGTAGTTTTTAAATAACCAATAAGACTCCCTACACTAACACACATACTCACTTGATCATGGTTAAAAGCCCCTCTTGTCTTGTATTATGATGTGAGGATTACACAGCATAGTGAGAGCGCACTACGTCGCTCTCAAAGACAGGGGGCGCTTATCACCCATTAAGACTAGCACACCACTTGAACCAGAAATCCTACAAAATGTTTTCCAAGTTCTTTTTACACTTCATGTCTTAAAATAACCTGTGAGGCATGTTTTTTATCACCTGTGAGACTCTAAAACACTTCATCACAGAGTTTGAAGGTGATGTTTTCTATTTCATAAACTTCACAGCTCAGAGTGATAATGAGCAGCTGAAGGTGTCATCTTCTGATTGTGAAATCTGGTTCAAGAAATGACACGGCATACGTGTTGAAGCCAAGGTCTCAGCTGATTTATCCTGGATCCAATAGTCCAGTTTCCCCTCAGCCTGAACATAAATTGTCTGTTATTTACATTACACAGACAGAGCCTTCAGAGTTCAACTCGTGTGAACAGGTTTCATGGTGACAGGAGGGGTGCTTCAACTGATTAATGGCCCCAGCCTGAGGAAACAAGAGGATGTCTGCTCTGCTAGAATGTGTAATGTGTTACTTTTATAGTCAATTTTCATTTCAGCAAGAATGGAAACTATTTTTGGGTTCTAAAAAATGAACAATAACAGAACAAAATACAAATAAACCCTGACATTTTAATTTTTAACACTTCAGTAATCAATCCAATTTCTATACTCCTACAATCCCCTCACCTTGGCAGCGCTCTTCAGCTGGTACATGGATGGATCATCTGCTGCCTTGCCAGCAGCACACTTGGTCGCACTAATGAGCTCAGCCAGCGCCTTGGCCACATCTTTGACAGCATTTATCAGAACCACCTAGAGAAAAGACGCACGGACAGTCACCAATTTGTCACAGCTCAGAATGGGAAAAAAAGAGAGAAAGCTCTGAAAGGTTATGCCCATTCACAGCTCATAGTAATGAAAACAGTCACAATGATTTAAGGACAGAACAGGAACTGAGAGAAGAGGAAAACAAGGCTGGCTTACCTGCGTCTCAGGGTCGTCTGAGCCAATACTCGCAGCTCCCAGTTTGACCACATCTGTGAGCTGGGTGATGGTTTTGGCAGAAGACTGGGCAGCCTGCGACAGCTTGTCCTGACCGGAAGCCGCTCCGGACACCAGCATCTTGGTGTCCTCCACCAGAGCTTTGGCTGTCTTCAAAATGTTTTCTCTGAGGGAGGCGATAAAGAAGCCAAGACATAAGGAAGAATAAGTGTTGAACTGAAGCAACGGTGTAAACATGCATGTGTACTTCACACATGCACAAATCTCTTTGCACATCACAGCCATTTATTCATCAAAGCTGATGCAAACACAAGCTCACGTAACCTGTTCAGTTAGTAATTCTTCTCAAATTGACATGAGAAATGATGTGAAAGTTTCTTTATTGATTAACTAAAAAGTGTCTCTCATGTCTTCCATCCTTCCCCGGCTTGAACACCAGTCATGTCAGTATAACTAAACCAAGAAGGTTGACTACAAGTCCAACACCAGATTGAGAACATTTCTGAAACATTTGAGGTAATTCTTCAAATAAAACCAGAATCACCGAAATCCTTGAAATCATTCTCTTTTTTTTCTATTACTGCGGAAATCCTTTAACCATGTTTCAAAAGGGAGCATTTAGTCTAAGCACATGAAAAGTGAGAATTTTGACAGTTCCTCCATCTTTCAAACCCTGAGGGTAATTTGTAGTTTCCAACTTAAAAGATTTCCTCCTCCCTGTTAACCAGATAATATGTCATTCTGTCAGTTTTCGGAAGCGAGATAACCAGAGGGAAGATTTTTAGATTCCAGGCACTACTTGCACTTGTAATACTTAGAGATGTTTTTGCACATTTATGTGAACACAGACACAGTCAGGGGCACATTTCCAGCACAAACCTGTGGTCAGCAAAGGACTCATCGTTCTCTGCGTTGAGAGTGCCGGCAGAGGCAAACATGATGGTTGTGTCCAGATCAGCGATGATTCCAGACACGGCGCTGGCTGCTGTGATGCACGCCTGAGTGCCCTTGTTTCCTGCCTGGAGGGCTGAGAGCACCAAGGACACCTGAGGACACACACACACACACACACCTTATAATCATGCAGGTGAGGATTTGCAGATGTTTGACCTAAGGCAGGGAGCACGTTTCACATACATTAACTGTTTGAAAATTCAGTTAGATCAGAGTATTTTATCTCTCTTAGTTCATTACAAAAAAAAACCATTGCATTTGTCTTAATGAGTTTCTCACTGGAGAGACATATTACTGGCTTATATTTATTTGGAATGGTATTAAACAAACCTTTACTGTTCAAAACAGAGCAAAAATATATTAGACATGGCTATAAACTCCCGATCAACACTTCAATCTTGCATTGTTTGTGACATGTATCTCTCCGGATCTAAATAATTCATTCAACTGAGAAGCCAACAATACCAGTCGCAGAAGGATTCAAATGTTTTGCTGCGTCAGCACAATACAATGCTGGCGCAGAGGGACGTGCAACATCACTCACTCGTGGAAATGAGCACATGTCAAACTGCTTTAGACTCCATTCATTTTCTGTACTGATGCCTGAGAGAGCGCAGAAATACATTAACTCCCATGTTCCTGGATGCTCAACACTTGAATTCTTCTATTACAGAAATAATAGCTGTGGAAAAGAAATGAGAACCAAACTGGACAAGCATGAAACCTGCTTTTTCTTTCAATAAGGATGTAGAGAGGAGACTTCATAAGTACTGTGGATGGATAATGAATCTGTAGAAGAATTTGTTTGCATTCTCAGGATATCTATACAGTGCTGGTGTACTGCTTGGATGTGATCTGTGCAATGATTCACTGTGATTCATTAAAACAGTCTGCAGCAGAGTAATGTATTTTGTCAAGGCCTATGAATTAAACAGTCAGCCTTTGAAGCATGAGACTGCCTTAGGTGAATGGTTTCCTCTGAAATGATCAAATTCAGGAGGCATAGGATCAAATAAATTATAGCACAAAAACACTTTTTTAACACTGTTGCTCATGCCTTACTACTCTGAACAGAAGATTCTTGAGACATGTGGTTTCAAATAAATAAATTAACACTAGAAGGAAAATTAACTTAGATTTCTTAAAACTAAACAAAAATATCCTAAAACAGATCTTGAAATGAGAGGATAATACCTTCTCTGTGACTGTACGCGCACATTCGATGAGCTCTCGTTTGGTGAAGCTGTCAGAGGGAATGATCTGCAGCGCTCCCGCCTTCTGCACCAGGAAGATGCAGCCATGTCCGAGATCCTGCACCCGATTCTTGATCTGGAAGCCAATCTGATGATCAGAGAGCCCATTAAAAACAGAATCTTACTAATGAATTATTCTTGTGCAAAATAAGGACTTTTTATATTGGTTTATAAAGTCATTTGTTGTTCCATGAATGTTTACACAATTACATTATTCAGATTCCCGTTGATTTCCTTTGAAAATGACAATTCACAACCCTTAAAATTTAAACAAATGCAGCTGTATGTGCTTCCACTCTCATGTTTCAGAGAAGTACTCTTTTGGTAAGACTTTCTGTCTCTGGAGGAAACCCAGGGTCATCCTCACCTCTTCTGGCTCAGCTGTGTGAGCGGCCAGGCGTCCCTGAACGGCCAGCTGGCTGTAGTCCACAGTCACCTGAGAGGCGAGGGCTCCCAGATCATCTGGACATGTCACCGATTTGGTCATCTGAGGGAGAGACATACACTGACTGTCAATCCAAACATGAGCTCACTGTTAACCAACCTTACACAAATGGGATGTCTGTGAAATAAGAAGCATGTGCTTCATTAGAGAAAAGTGTATGTGGTCTTTGTATTCAGAATAAATAAGAAAATGAACGAAGAAATCTTTCAACACACAAATAGTTGTAATGAATAAAAAAGTGGTCTTCATTTTCATTTCTTGTTGTTGTATATCAGTATATAGACCTAGATCTCCCCTGTTTTTGTTTACTTCAAATATTGGTCAAAAGTTAAATATCGGTATAAATGATGTATCCAATGCTGGACTATTCCTGTAAATATTCTTCCCGAAGAATGCCACTCCATAAAACCCCCCGGGGTCTGCAGGCAAATGTCCCTCACAGTATAATGTAAATGACTAAGAAAATTTTAACATTCATGATTTTATTTATTAATTTAAAGTTTATTTAACAAGCAAAGCCTCATAAAAAATAAAATAATAAAAACTCCATCCAAGGTTTTTTTTTAGCCAATCAACATGAATGTATACCAAAGTCATTGTCACATTTCCACAACACTGTAAACAACTGTTTTGTATGCTTACCATTTCCTGAGCCGTGACAGCGATTGCCTTGGAGTATTTCACCATACTGGTCTGATAATCCACAAATGAGCCCTCAGGTTCAGGTGGTGTACCTTCATCCAGCTGAGGAAACACACACACACAGAGACACACAAAGACACACATACACACACAGTTATCACAGCACTGCAGTGTTCATTTCAGGCATAATTAATTTGTCCCTCACTAAATATACAAACATCTTCAAACATGACGACAATCAATCATTCAGCTCTTTAGTTGCAGGGACACGATAACCTGATCTCCCTTTTTAATTAAAATGATTCTGCCAGGTGTGCCGAATTATCTTCCAACCAGATAAACATCATCTATGAACCGGTGTTAATGCAATTTTATATTCAAATAAACACTGAATGAGAAACTGAATTAGAAACACATTATATATTATAGACTAGTTCCACTCTGTAATTAAGAGTTTTAAAATAGAATCAGCTACAGGAGCTTTTCGTTATCAGCCAGCAGTGCATAGATTATTTTTGTAGTGTGGAAGCTGCGGAGACATGAGAGACGACGCAATGCACGTGTGTGTGTGTTCACACTTGTGATTTAATGAATTCACTAAATCTTAAGTTTAACCCACTGAGGGAAATGACACCTTAGAATCTGTCAGTGACTTAAAGCATTTCAAATCACCTCTGCTAAAACCACAGCCCGGTGACCATTATGTTGATGGATTATTTAAGAGGATTATCTCCTTTTCATCACCTGCTGACATGCACACACACAAAAACACACACAAAAACACACACATTCACACACGTTGGCTCATCATGCAGACCCAAACTGAAGTGCTTTCATTCATTATTCATGACGTGCTGCACAAAGTTGAAGCTGAGATGTTGTTCCCTTCTGCTGACCCACACCTGAGGCTCTTTTTCAACCCTGTGGTGAGTCTCAGTCAGGAAGCCGAGGAAGGAGCTAATTAGTTGATGCATTTCTGTCTGTGCCAGAGTTAAAAAAGAAGCTTGTTCTCGGCTTCACACCATATGCGTTTGCCAGAAGTGTGACTGTTAATTGGGGAGATGGTCTAAAAGGCCGTGCACAGGCTGAGAGCAGTTGTTTTGAAAGTTATTTTTTGTCTGCTCAGACAATAATTTGTATTAATATGCTAATAAATTATTTCCAAGGTGCCTGGAGAACACTTAGGAGGTTGTAATCAAGATGGTGTACACAGGGACAGAAAAACAAAGCTAAAAGAAATGACTGTTTTGGTATTCCTGGAACATCCTTAAAATGTTCACAAACATCTGCTTCCCTGCCAGATTTCCTTCTGACCAATTTATTCCACTTGTTTTCTTAGCACTATTTTGGTTCTTTGTTTTGTGTTTCTTGCCAGATCAAAATGTTTCAACCCCACAATTTTGCCAACTCATTAAGAGTGTAATAAATGAATAAATGTATTGTGTGGCAGCAACAACTTTGTTTATACTGAAATTAAAAATGGGTACGTTGAAAAGTGAAAATGGATCCTCATCCTAGAGCCTCTGAGCTTTCCTCTGCTCGTCTACTGCCACTGGACGAGTGGAAGGGCTCTTGATAAGAGATGAATGTTGGAGAAAGTCATAAACTGATTTAACCAGACACAGTTTTTGCAGCCATATATATATATGGAGAGCTAATAGTCATTTATTCTAATCTCTGGTTTGTGAAACACACGATGCCCAGCAGTCACTCACCTTGGCCATGGCCTCTGCGATTGAGTCCACCATTCCTCCAACCATTCCCACTTCACTCGCAGCCTCATTAAGTGTCACCATTATATCATCAACCGCCTCCTTCATGAGCTGGGAAGCCTCTGATATTGCATCATGGGTATGGGACGCCTGTGGAGGGTGACACCGAGACATAAGCAGACATACAATAAAAGGAAAAGTCCATATAACCCTTCCTTTGGTGGAGTACAACTCTAGTTCTACCTTTGGGTTTCCTCCACCCTCTTTGGCAGCGTAGAGCATCTGCAAGGCGGACTCAGCCATGGTCTTAGTTTGGTCCAGGAAAGTCATCTGCTGCTGGTGGTCCCTCAGCTTAGACGCCACACCAACAGAGGCCATGATCAGTGGCTCAAAGTAACCAGCGAGCTGGGTCACCTGAAACAAAGAATGGAAGAGTTCAGTGAGAGTTACAGGAAGTCAACAATAGAAAATAAAACATTTTAAATGTTTGACTCTCAAACTTGGAATGAAATCATTGACTCTACACTTCCACATGGCAGAAACAATAACAAGTTAGATGAATTAATCAGGTTGAAGATAAAGTTCTGTTAAGAGTGTCACAAATCTATTTTTGTCTTAATAACTTCACGCCTAACAAGAGGAAATGTTTAACACTGCTTATCATTAAAAAGTAGAACTTTCTTGCATCAGAGCAACAGTCTTTAAGAGAAGTAATTAACCTCCTGTTCTAAATACCTTGTGTCCTAGTTGGGAGGCCTCGCCTCTGGCTGCAGTGGAAACAGGGTCAATTAAGTGGCCAATTTCCTGAACAGTGGACGTCAGCTGCTCCTGGAGCGCCTAAAGAGAGGAAATAAAAATAAATTTATTTTCGTCTTACAAGGAGATAGAGGTGCATTTAAATAAGTGAGCTGGACATGGAACTGTAAGGTAAACTGTGTACTGTCTAATGAGCTGTCTGTGACCTAGAATGGACAGAAGCTCAATTACATCCACCAACAATAGATCCATTATTTAACAGAGTCACACAAAGGAAAACACCATGGCTACAAAAAGACAAACCAATAATCTAAAAGTAACACTGAGACCGAAAATAGAGAACGACAGGGGAAAAGAACTATACAAAGACAAACAAATACTGAGAATGGGAAAAAGAGGAAGATACTGGTAGCTGTCTGCAGAACATGTCAGGTTATTTTTTGATGGTTGCTTACCTCCAGTGAGATGTCATCCCTGCTGGGTAAGTTCTGGCTGACTGCTGCCAAAGAGGCCTGCTCAATGTCCCGGATACATTTGTTTATGTTATCAATTGACGAGTCGCACTCGCGCTGGCCTGGAGCCTTGTCCCTGAGAATTACATGAGAACCGGAAAAGAGGAGAAACAGAAAGCAATACAAATGGTCAGAAACAGAAAGGAAAGGATGATGTATGGGTTGAAAAACAGGACACAGAAGGAGATACCAAAAATGGAGAAGAGAGACATAATACAAGACAGAAAGAGAGGAACTATAATGAATACTTATTAAAAAAACAGACAGGTTCCAGGATGTCTCATTTTCTCCCCTGACTGCCTCATCTCATTGCTGCTCTGCTCACATCTGCCAAATGTGGCCTGCGGGGTCTTGTCACTGCACAGCGAGATCAAGCTGGGCAGCCAAATTAGCTTTTGAAGCCTTTGAGTGGTCTGGGGCAGCGGCCACACGGGCCGAACGAGGTTAGTTAAACAACCATTTCCATGAACACACAGAGTAAAACTAAAATACAATCTCATTTTGGGTGTGATGACACTGACAAAGTTATGAGGTTTTTCAGAATGGAGTCCATTCTTATCACTGTTCTTTGGCAAAAGCAGGGTATCACTGCTATTAAAGGCCTAAGCACACAGCAGCCAATTTGCAGTCGCAAAGGAAGACTGGATAAGTGCAGAACAACTGAACGCCATGTTCAGCTGGCTGCTTGTGAATGCTAACGCGCAGATGTTCAGAACCAAGCAGAAACATTAAAATCCAAACGTGTCTGACCCAGGAATTAGTTCCTCCAGGCATTGGTTTTGTTCTGATCAAGGTCGGGGACAAAAGGTGTGAAAGAGGAGATTAAAAATGGAGGCTGCTGATGTATGAGAACAAGCATTTGTCTCGCCGTGGTACAGCAATCGGGCATCCATTCCCGAAGAAGCTGTGTTAGTCCTCCTAGGAAATTTTAAGGGTAATCACGTAGATAAATGGGAAAACTTCACTGAGTTTTCTGACCCGACTTTCACCTGACATAATCTCTTCTGTGTTCAGAAGTTACTACATCGCAGCGCAAAACTGGGGTGGAGGACTAAAATGAAGATGTTCTGATATCTTCATCATTTTGTCTGGTTGCTTGGTAACATTTAAGTGATTGTAAGACTTCAGAAAGTCACTTTTCTCAGACATTAAAAAGTCTTAACACCATGAAAAATCTAAGAAGAAACTGCTGTAGCGACCCTTATGTTAACAATGACTAGATGTCTGCTCACTAACCTGATGGCAGTGATGAGACTCTTGATGGAGTCGGACACAGTGCGAGAGTGACCAGCCAGCACAGACCAGGTAGGCGGATCTTTAGGGTTGATAACCAATGAACGTGCACTCTTGAGCAAGTAGGTGGAGCTGTCGAGCATGGCCCGCGCCGATTGGAGAATGGGCTCCTGTGCCGCAGAGCCCTACAGAAAAAAAGAATTCAGGTTCATCAAGATTTTAAACATTTCAACATTATTCTTCCCACTGTTTTTATAAAGCTTTTATTGCTTTAATGATGCATGCAATAGCTGTGTATGAAACAATACAACCCCTAATGATCTTACAGCCATACCTCATGGCTGATTTGAGCTGGGATGCTTGCAAACTCTGGGTTGGAAGCAAATGTTGTCAGGTTTTCCACAGCCTCGATAAGTGGAGCGGTGGCGACGCTGCACTTGCTTCTGTTCTCCTCTGAGAAATCACCATCTAAAGCCTGGAAAGTGAGAGAGAAAAAATGAAAAACATCTGATTAAAGCAGAGTTTCTAATATGTTTTTAAACCCAAGAGTCAAGAAGAAAAAAACATACGCAGAAGTTGGATAGAAATATTTGTACAATCACAATGACTTGAAGTGGAACAGAAATGTTTCCAAATTCACTCCGCAGAGGATTCATCAACATCAGCCCTCATTAATCACATTATTGTTGACACTTATTCCACTCGTCTCTTCTGTTGTTTGCCAAATAGGCAACAAAGCCAACCTTTAAACATGACTGGCAAAGAAACCCTACCTTGATGGTTTTGACCAAGTTGGCCGTGCTGTTGGCCACCTCCTTGGCAGACTGGACGAAGTGTCGCTTGGCGACAGGGTTGGTTGTCTTGGAGGAAGCCAGGCGGCAGGCGTTGCACAGTGCTGATGTGTGCTTAGCAACTATAGTGGCTGAAGAGAGAACCTGTAGTGAAACAAATGACAAGATGTTAAATTAAGAACTGAGATTGTACCTCAAATAAACAGTTTATTAGTGCACACAAAACCAATCATCAGACTTTATTATTACTGTCATTTCTATGATCCAAAAATCTTGCATGTCCCAAACATCAGGTGAGCTCTGTGGGGGGGGGGGGGCTATAGTAGGCTGTGTGATTATACAAAGAATGTTGTAGGAGAAAATAAAGGTGATTATGAGGTCGATAATGGAGTTTCAGACCTCCTGTGAAAGCATCTGGCAACACAGCTGGAAACCTCTGCATGAAGTGTTTGCAGGGAGTTTGATATTTTTTACATTTTGCAGAGCAAAGAAAGTATTCTCTTCCAGTAAAGGGAATTAAAAAATTAATACATTCTTACTTTAATATTTATTTCTTTAACTTATTCCATTCAACTCAGCATGGTACTGTCAACATTAGTTAGGATTCAGGGATATATTATTTAATATACTCTTTTAAAAAACCAACGTGGAAAGAAAAAAACAAGCAATAATTACCAAAAAATGTTATTCATCAATTTATAACTAATCATTAAAACACGTAAGAGTAGTTGTGATACAGAACATGTTGAAGGTGCATGTACCTGGGAGGGACTACTGTCTGGGTCGACCAGATTCTGACAGGCCATCTGGATCGCTTGGTTGGCTTTGGCAAACTGAATAGGATCCACTAACCCCTGGTGACCGGCCTGACTATTGGGATCAGACACACCTACCAGGTAGGAGGCCTACAGAGGGGAAAATACACCATCATCATAAGCATCCCCAAGCATCACCTTCAAGTAATAAAATAAATATGATCAGTTGCCTATGCCTTGTATTAAAAGAGTTGTTTTGCTGTATTCTCTACCTGTCCTGCAGCTTCTGTGAGGCCACACAGGGCTTTCGAGGCTGATCCCACACAGTCTCCAAATGCCGGCACATCCCCAGTCTTACAGTTCTGAGAAATACCTGCCATGGACTCTCCCAGGACCTAGACGAGACAAAGGAGCAAGCGACCAGGACAAAGAGAGGAGAAAGAGAGGAATGCTTAGGATGCTAAGCTCTGTGTGTGTAGCAGCAGCACACTGTGTGTTTTTATCACGAGGCTTTTTGATTTGAGGGCCTACCTTTGAGTTCTCCATCACACTCTCAATGCAGTCAAAGTAGGAGAGGTCACTGACCGGCTCGTTAGGATTGTCCAGCATTCCTCTGACAGCCTGAAAGAAGAGTGAGTCTTACTTGCAAGGACATTTTTGCCACACAATGCCAGATGAGAGGAAACACATTTATACCTTATTCATGATTTTCTTTAGTATACCTCGGGACATATTATAGTAAATGACCCTAGATTAAACTTCCTACAAAGCCTTTGTTGAGATGACTGCTGTTTGTTCCCGTTTGATCACTGAGGAAATCAGAGGTATATACGTACAGCACTTTGTAGCGTTGCTTCTGAAAAGTCAAATATAAATAAAAGTTTTAAAAAGGTGAAAAGGTTGTGTTTACCTCCAGCTCTCTCAGGGCGTTGTCACACTCTTTCTGGCCTGGAGCCTGCTGTGTACACAGCGTGATCAGCTGATTAATGCTGTCAGTCACTGCTCTGAAACAAAGAAACACACAGGAACATAAAGTCACACCCTTCTTCCTGAAGTTGTATGTTGGTCAGTGTTTGATAACATTTTAGTTGTGAACTTGTTGGTTTTGATATGTTTGAACACATTTAATTGAGCTGTTTTTCTTTGATAGTAAAAAGTTCTGTGCAGGCAGCTTTTATGTTTATGTCTGTGTGCAAGATTAAGCAATTGGTCATCAGATTTTTCTTCCATTTCCTTTTGAAAAATGTGGAATTATCTGCTTTCAATCTTTTGAATAACAAGGGAGACTGATAGCTGCATAAACAAAGCCTTAACTTACTAGGGTTTGGCTTTGATCATATGCAGACAACAGAGAGCGTTCTGATAATAATGTGGACATACAGTATGAACTGATTACATCTCAGAAGGTGTGTATCTGTGTATGTGTTAGTTGGGGTACCTTGCAGCAGCAGCTAGCAGGTTCTTGGCATTTGCTGCTGCCGGGTCCACGGACAGACTCTTAGCAGCCAGCAGCAATTTACTGGAGGCCATGGAGATGTTCTTCAGGTTACCAATCACCTGCACCTGATCATCCTTTTTCTGAAACACAAAATCAGAACAACATGAATAAACATACATCAACTATAAAAACATTCTGTATTTAGTCAACCTGCATCATCAAGTGATGATTTATAAACCTTGTTAGTTCTATTAACGATCTCTAAAAAAAAAAAAAAAAAAGATAAAAGACCAACCTGAGTGTGGCCAGCCATCTCGATACCAGCATCCAGGAACTCATCAAAGTCTTGGCTGAAATTTCCAGAGGCCACAGCCAGCTGGCTGCTGGAGCCTCTGGAGGCATGGACCACCTCACCTGCTGACTGATTCAAACCTGCTGCAGTTTGGTTCAGCTCACTCTGAGCCTCCTGGAAGGACTTGGAGGCTGGAGGGATCTGAATGGAGGACAGAGAGGAGGTCATGATAAAAACAAAGATATTTAGCTGGAATTAACAAATGAAGGAACAGGGGGCACCAGTTGCCTGAGGCTATAGTCCTCTAAGGGGACGGCCCGGGTTCGAATACGACCTTTGGGTCCTTTCCCACATGTCTCTCTCTCCCTGATTTTTGACTCTATCCACTCTCCTGTCTCTAAATAAATGCATAAAAGCCCAAAAATAAACCTAAAAAAAGGAAAGTAAGGAGGATCAAAACTGTTTGGTATACAGCAAGAATGACAACAAGCACAAGGCCAGTTTACTGTAGACTGCAGAAGAACTCAGTGTTACAGTGCTGTAATGATGCTAACAGCAGCACAGTGGTTCATTTTAATAATGATGTAAAAATCTGAATATCTGAGCTTCACCAAAGCAGCTACGGAATATAAAAATGTTTTTGCCTGAACTCTGAAAAATCATCTTCTTAATCCATATTTTGTTTAATTCCTCAGGTTCAAATCAAAGAGCTGCTCTGTTGAGAAAGTGAATTAAATTCTTCAAAATCAACTGAAAAAACAAAACATGAAACTGTTTTAAACTGGTGATAACCGCTGATGTCTGGATTTTTCTATCTTGCATTCCTTTCTTTTAAAATATTTTACATTTTTTTGTTGTTGTTGTGCATTAAGGAAAACACAGGACGCTAATTCTGCAGGCAGAGCTGTGATTAGTCACACCAAACTCACAGTTTCAATCAGCAGCTTCTTGCTGGCCTCCCCGATGCTCTTTAGAGCCATGTCCACATCCTTCTGTCCGGGCAGACAGTTGACGCAGTTATTCAGGGAGTGAGACACCGCCTTGGCCACCTGGAACACACAGCAGGTTCACAGCAGGCTGAATTAGAGCAACCAGGCAAAACAAGCAATCTGCATTTGAAACGCTAATAATGAGTAGGAAGGAATAACCGGTATGACCATTGTTTTTAATAAACATCAAACCTTATGTCCCTGATTGTGCTAAATATCAAAAACTAGGCTGTTACATCACAGAGGTCAAAACAGAAGCAGAAAATAACAAGAAAGGGAACTCAGTGAAGCAGTTGGTGAGAGACAAACAAGAGTGAGCTAGTTAAAAAGCAGCACAGGCCTCAAAACCAAATTTAATTTTAAAGAGGATTTTCAAAAGACGACATAGTATAAGTCTCATGTTTTACAAAAAGGCTTCTGTTTTTTTTAATGGTTTCATTACTAAATTCTCAACATCCCTATTGAAAAAAACATCATTTATTTATTCTGTGGAGAGTATATGAAGAGGACAAGACATCAATAATTTAAAGATACACGGCCTGTAAACATACCGCCATGTTTACTATGGAGTCCCCTGCCATGTCATGACAGGTGTTCACTTTCATGAATTAATGATTACATGTTGATATTCATCTGGCTCACAAGAAAATATTTAATAGAAGGGTTAAATATAGACAGAAAAACAGAATTTTCCTTTAAGTTTACGTGACTGCATGTTTTGATTTCTACAAACAGATTCTATTCCACCCTCGTTAAATATCACACTACTTCTATGTACTTCTATGAAAATGGGCGTAAACTATCATTAAACTTTCTGTTTGGAGAACAGACCCACCCATGACCTCCATTTGAAAAAAAAACTGTGTTAAATACTTAATGAATTAAATATGCAACTGCAATACTAAAACATTGATGAACACAAACACACTGCACATGTTGAGCCAAACAGGATAAAAAATCTCCCTATATGAGCTGTTGGTGATGAGGTTAGAATAACCGAAGAATGAAAAGTCTCATAGACACACAGGAGGTCTTTGCAGTGACATTTGACAGTATTAGCTTTAAGGCACTGGTGCATGGTCTGACAGACTGATAAGCTCATCCTCCAGCCTGCAGCACCAGAGAGCCAGACATGCAGAACTGACTTCAAACCCCGGAGCTACCCTGAACATCTCACCTGTGCAAGCCTCTGCTGGCTCTCAGCGTCTCCTGGGCAAACCAGCGCCTGCTTGGCTTCATGAATGAGAAGCGCTGAGCCCTCCATAACGTCACGAGCCGAGTCCAGCATGGCAGCGGCGGCTTTGGGGTCTGTGGTGGAGGCAGCGACACCGCGGGCTGCCTGGGCCAGTGTTTTAAGAGCCTGAGCTGTCTCCCTGGCTGCTATACCTACACACAGGGTCAGAGAGGAAAGAGTGAATATGTGAAGCTGTCTTTTTTTATTAAACTTGTAAAATTTCAAAAAAGAAATGTCAAAAGTCCCAATTGTACAGGATGATTGTGTAATTCAAAGAAAGTGATTCCTCTGCCCTGAAAAATGTTTAGCAGCAGGCAACACAAAAAAAAACACATATTTGTTCCCGGAAGGTGTAAAAGAAGTTCTTTAAAGTCCTATAAATCACATACACATACAAGGATACAAAATGGGCAAACTGGTAATAAAAAAAAACCTTAAATCGTGGCTTAAAATGACCTGCCTCACCCCTACAACATCACCAAAGCAGCCTATTTAGAGCATAATTGAGAACAGGGAACAATATCAATTGAATTTTGATGCTGTGTATTTGGTAATTGGATTATTTAATCACATCAAGAAGTTGGAATACTTGGGTCATGTGAAAAACAGAAAGGCACTGTGTGTACACAAAGTGCAAGATGAACTAACAGTCAGATAAGTGTTTCTGTCTTCACAAATTCAGCCAAAACAATTAGAAGAAATTCTTTGGGACCAGTGCTCGTGGTGGCTGTTGGGATTAAGGATTTTTACAGGTAGAGGGTTGAATGATTGTGCAGTTGCGAATTTATTATTATTTTTAATCAGTGCGTCAGCGGCATACCAGTGTAATGTTCGTTTCCTTGTGCGGCACACGTGAGCAGCTGAGCCATGGAAGATCCCACTGACTTTGAGGTGCTGCCCAGATCCTGAGCACACTTCTCCAACTAAAGCAGAGAGAAATGTTTAAATAAACAGCAGCAGTGCATGATGCACAAAACAAAATCAGTAGACACAGTGTCATGCAGGAGTCCCTGTCTTTTCTTTTTCTTGTCAAATAAATCTTATACCAGTCAAACAGGTGTAAAAAGTGTCTTACTGATTCTCCAGGTAGTGGTTTCAGTTGGGCATTAACAGCAGCAAGTTTGGCATCTTGCAGCTCGCTTCTCAGAGTCTGGATGGCAGTGAGCGCAGAGTCGATCTCCATGGGGCCGCAGGCTTCATGAGCCTAAAAAAGAAAGTTCTGCTGTAGTTAAAGGGGTCATTAAAAATGTTTTTCACTTGAGACTAGGGATACTTCGGAAAAAATATATAATTTAGTTGGCAGCTTCTGCTAGTTATACACTCAAACTTTCGCTACAACCTGAATTCTGCAAAATGTTCTTTCAAAATATTGTGAAGAATTCTTCTCAATGAGGCTCATTATCTTTAATTTTGTCTTTTCCACAAAGCTTATTATACATGATCCAGAAAACTCAGTGTGTCTCTGGATTGAGGTTTGCACATTAGGTGTGATTTTGCATGTACTTTGCATATTGAGTGCAGGGACTTCCTAAATGCACGTTCACATATGTGCGTATGTGTGCTCTACCTTCTGTGCAGACGTCCTCAGCTCAGCCAGGCAGGTGGCCAGGTTCTTGGCACACTGACCCAGTTGCATGGCTGCAGCCTGATCCGTCACCGTGGGAACAGAAGATTTGGCTGAGGTCACCATCTTACTGCCAGGCTGCAGAGAGGAAAAGAAATGCTTTGAGTTTTAAAATTGTTTAATAAAATATATAAAGACATTTCTATATGTCTAAGTGTTGCTCTGAGGAACAACAAGAAACAAAGGTTAAATTATGTCGATGTATTTAGGGACCACATATTTCTGTATCTGCTTTAAAAGAGCCCCACAGGCATTAAACACATAATCCCATCACACTACTGCTTCTTTAACTGCCTGCTTTCAATAGAAAGAGGTTACAGGCCTATTTTCAAAGCATCCCCTCATGGCAGAAACACTATTAATACTTTGTTCAGCCTGGTTCCCAATGTAAGCCTGAAGTTACTCCATTGGAGCACGGGGACATAAAGTTGTTAGAATCTTTTCTTCATTTTGCATGTGTGTGTGTGTGTGTGTGTGTGTGTACTGCACCTGTAGGAAGTTCTGGCTGGCAATGATCAGTGCTAGTTGTGCGCTGAGGTCCTCCGGTTTGGCCTGACTTCCACGCACTCCCTGCACCAGTTGTGGGATGTGATCTGCCACTGCCTGTAAATACATGAACACACACACACACACACAATTACATCCAAGCTTATGGGCCAAATGGAGATTTCATATTTGAAGTCAAAGCCTTGGTAGAAAATATGTCTGGTATACTATTCTTTGATCATTTTGGATGCACACAAAAAACAGCTGAAGAAAAAAAGTGCTCAATAAGGCCATAAAGGGAAAATACTGTTAAGTAGTATCATACATTAAAGGAGTAAAAAATAAAAAACTTCAAAAAAAAAGCTTTGATCCTCACCTTGCAGCTCTGTACCAGCTGCTGGTGAGCAGCAGTGTTCTTGTTGGAGGCGGCAGCATTTTGAGCAGCAGCAATGGTCTGCGTGGCAGCAGCAGCAGCTTGCTTGGCAGCATTCTGGAGAATATTTGGAAACTTAAACATCCATAACTAAAAGCACAGCTACACAGAAACAAGGTTACACATGAGCTCTCTGTGTTTCAGTTTCACTTCACTGCTTTGGAGACTGAACATTAATTAGATATCAGTGTTCAGGTTCAGTCCTGATATTTCTCTGAAAGGGTTTGTGGTTCCCCGAATTTAAATTTGTTATCTACAAATTATGAAAAACTGAAGCTTCACTGTGTAAGCTTCAAGTGTCAGTTTTATTTGAGAGGCAACTGAGTTTAAATATCTTCACAGTTCAAAATCAATTGAAGGTCTTAAAACATGTTTACACAAAAGTATTACAACATAGAGGATAAAAATCCTTAAACTATTTATATTGCAAGGATTTTAAATGTGCATAAAACAACAACACTGTAACTAATTTCAGTTTTCATATTTAAAAGTTGTTTTGAGGAAAGAACCCTAAAAACCCTGAGCTGCCACTCTGTTTTTGATCCTTTGGGAGATGGAAAGTTTTAACAAAAAGCCTAAACCTATCTTCACACTCACTCTGATCTTTGGTACCTATTGTCCCCTCTTTTATACTTTTAGACAGTTACAATGCATGTAAGTATCACTGATACAGAAAGACAAATCGGGTCCTGATGAAGCTATTTCTGTTGGGAAACATGTTGGCATCACTGACCTCCAGTCTGTTGATCAGTTTCTTCTTGATGGCGTTCTGAGCAGCAGCGTTGGTGGCCACACGCAGACCCTCCGCAGCCTCCCTCAGTCTCTGCTGCTGGTCCTCATTCTCTGGGTATGCTGCCGCGCCCTGTGAACACACACACACACACACACACACACACACACACACACACACACAAATCAGCAAATAAATAAATAAATAAATAAAAGGTGAGAAAGATGAGATAACAGCTCCTATAAAGGTGGGATGACAAAAAAAAAGAATGATCAGTGCATAATTTTCCCTCACTTTCCAATACATCACATCACACACCCAGACGAGCAGCGGACACATCCACACAGCCATCAGCTCATACAAGTCTTCTTACAACATCCAACCGGTGTACACAGGCCTTCAAAAATGAAGCAGACTTAATCACTGCACCCACACTGAGCTGCAGCTCCTCTTCATCCAAACAATCAGCTCTTTGTGAGTGCTAAAATGTCGATTAAGGATGTTTATTCATATGAGCAAGCAGCTCTTTTATCTTCCCGTTTTTGAATCCAGCAGTGTGAGGTAACTGGTTTCTGAGGAGGCTGATATCACTCAGCAGCTCTGTGTGTCATGCTGTAGGAGAGAGAGCTAAGCCTGCTGCCATTAGGTTAATTACTTGGGAACTTGGTAGCTTCACCTGCAGCTACAGAGAGGTGGGTGTGCATGCTACTGAAAATCCATGTCATTAAATTAATGTTTAACCCCACAGTTGCACTTGGCAACAGTCACCACAGACAGAGATATCACTGTGAACAGGGCACAAACAGTCATTTGGTGGGTTGGACATGTTTTGCTCCCTCATAAGGACTTTCTTTTGGAACATTTGACACAAAATTAATCACAGTAAAATGTTGTTAGTGACCAGCTTCAAATGACTGTAGCTTGAGTGTAGCAGCTGTCATCTGCCTGCTGGCAACTGCTGACGCCGTTTAAATTTAACAGCCAATTTGCATAATTATTAAAAAGTGCTGATTTCCAGGGGAAGTAACAAGATATTGCATGCAAGGATTCATCATGTGGCGCTAGCCTCCAAGAAGTTAAGTCTGTCTCAGAGCGATAGAACACTCTCACAATAAGTGTCTGACTGAGGCGTAGCGTTACCTAACATGGCCTCCGAAAAATCAGCATAAAGACAGTCAACTATAACACTACACTGCACAAGTTAAAATGATCAGTTGCCGGGGTTACGGCTGGCTGAGGTTTGAGCCTCCATCGACATAGACAAACATACAGCTGTGGGGATGAGAAGTCTGGTATCAAACTCCACTGTCCAACCAGCTGGAGGGCGTCATTTCATTTCCGTGCTGGAAGTGAAGGGTTATTAATATCAGTGTGTGATTCTGCAGACAGATAATGAGGATGATGAAGAGAGAGATAGCAGATGAATGGTAGTGTGGGGAAGCTAACCCTGCCCTTAAGCAGTGTGGGAAGAAAGCAGTTCCCCAACTGTTAATCATGTTACGCAGAAAACTTGTGAAAATTACATTCTTAAACTTAATGTTTCAACCCGATAATTTAGTGCTTCTCTGACTATTCAGCCTGCTATTCAGCACTTATGTCTATTATTGCTGTTGACAAGGACAAGGTCTACAAATGCACTTGAGCAAACTGCTATTAAACCAAAGGATAAACCACACAGTGTGTGAATAAATCTACTAAAAGGATTCATTAAAACTGTTGTGTACACGACTATGTTTGCACTGAATATTTGATAGGTCATCTCGTTTATTGACTTGTTTTATGAAAAGGTCTGTGCAACACAGAGATCATTGCACATTAACTACATTAATGCACATTTAGGATAAAAGAGAGCGGGAACAAGTGGTTAGGAGAGGACCAAAATAACATTCAGTATCTACAATTCATTTAGCAGACCCAGTGCACAGAGGCAAAGAACAACATCAACAGACAGCAGTTCTAGAGAGTTCTAACCAGCATCAAATACATCGACATAAACATCATCATGGACATCATCATCACCATCATCATCATGGACATCATCATCACCATCATCATCATCACCATCATCATCACTATCAACACCATCATCATCATCATGGACATCATCATCACTATCATCATCATCATCACCATCATCATGGACATCATCATCACCATCATCATCATCATCACCATCATCATGGACATCATCATCACCATCATCATGGACATTATCATCACCATGGACATCATCATCATCATCAACACCATCATCATCACTATCATCACCATCCACATCATCATCATCATCCTCATCACCATCTACATCATAATCATCATCATCACCATCATCATCTACATCATCATCATCTACATCATCACCATCATCATCTACATCATCACCATCATCATCTACATCATCACCATCATCATCACCATCTACATCATAATCATCACCATCATCATCACCATCTACATCATAATCATCATCACCATCATCACCATCATCATCTACATCATAATTATCATCATCACCATCATCATCACCATCTACATCATAATCATCACCATCATCATCTACATCATAATCATCATCACCATCATCATCTACATCATCACCATCATCATCACCATCATCATCAACATCATAATCATCATCATCACCATCATCATCATCATCTACATCATCACCATCATCACCATCATCATCTACATCATCACCATCATCATCACCATCATCATCTACATCATAATTATCATCATCACCATCATCATCATCATCTACATCATAATCATCATCACCATCTACATCATCACCATCATCATCATCATCTACATCATAATTATCATCAACATCATAATCATCATCATCACCATCATCATTATCATCTACATCATAATCATCATCACCATCATCATCTACATCATCACCATCATCATCACCATCATCATCTACATCATAATCATCATCATCATCATCATCATCTACATCATAATTATCATCATCACCATCATCACCATCACCATCATCACCATCATCACCATCCTCTATGTGTGCAAATATTCAAAACGCTTACTGTATGCTGATGATACTGTGATTTTTCTCTCTGACTCAAATCCTAATGTCATAAATTCCAAATTATCGTCTGATCTTCAGTTCTTGCATGATTGGTTGAAAAATAATCATTTGACTATCAATGTAAAGAAAACTGAGTGTACTTTCACTCCCCCAGAAAATGTATTACATTCACTGATCCAATCACCTTTGCAAGCCAAGATCTTGTCATCACAAAGACCAAGACATATCTTGGTGTGCTACTTGATTCACATCTTACATACCGTGAACACACCTCTAAACTAACTACTAAGCTGAGTCAGAAACTTTATGTGTATATTAAGATCAGACAATATCTGTCCTTCTGTTTCTGAAACGTACCTACATGCAATTGTGTTTTCATCAATTTCCTACTGTCTTCCAATCTGGTCACTTACCACTAAGGAGATTACTGAACCAATAGCACAACTGTACTATCGAGCTCTTAAGATCCACAGTAACCTCCCAAAGTGGTCACACCATTGCTCTGCACTCACCCGCTCCAACGCCTTGACTTTCCAAAATTACATACACAGCCACTCTATTACATACTCTTTTCAGATTAAAAACAGCACTTCACCAACACTTGCTGCACTTCTACCGACACATAATGAGACAAGTGCGCCTCACTAGGTCAGTCTCACAGGCACTCATCCCAGTCCCTGCATACAAAAACAACTATGGTCGGAAGTCCTTCTTTTACACATACACCAAAATTTGGAATGACATCCCCCATCTTATTAGAACTTTACCATCTACCTCATATTTCAAAAATACATACAAATGACACCTTCTCCACACTTACACCTTCATTAATTGTTCAATTAATTGTTCATGTACTGTTCGCAGTATCTGTACTGTTTGTTTCTATTTGTCTGTATTTGCCTAGCTCATGCTAATGTCCTGTAAATGTGTGTCTTGTGTGTCATGACTGTGGTTTATGTTTCATGTTTCGCAGAACAGGAACCTGCTGGAAACCAGTTTTTAAACTAAGTCAGGCCCGTTAAACTGTAACTTAATGTTACTTTTAAACTTTCCTGTATAATAAATGAAATGAAATGAAAAAAATCATCATCATCATCATCGTCACCATCAACATCACCATCATCAATGTCAATATCAATAAAGTCGTAAGTATTCATGAACGAGCTGGGTCTTTAGCTTTTTCTTAAAGTTGCAAAGGGACTCTGCAGATCGAATGGAGTCTCTAGATGAAAGTTTAGTATTATTTTAGAAGTTGATCTGTATTACATTGTTGGAGCACTAAAAAAGCCAGATTAGGAGTGTGACTACAGAGGGAATATATTTGATGACCCATTCACACGAACAGTTTGTGTTCAAGTCCCACAGAGTCCTACTCTGCAGATGCAAGGAAACAACATTTAAAGCATTGAAGTTTGTTTTTTAACTCACTAACCATCAGTTAGGATCTCTAAATTCAGACTAATCTGCACATAAAGGATAACTACAAAGATTCTATGAAACCACAAAAAAAGTAACTAATTCAATGATTGGTAGAGCAACTCGGTTGTTAATGCACTGATTTAAGTGTTGTTGCACTAAGTCATAGCTCAGGGAGAGTGGATGCAGTTTGCAGAAGTTTAATATTTCCCATCTGGAGTGACTGTTGAATCATATAATACCGTTATACAAGATCTGTCCATCTCCCTAAATTCTTATTAAAGGCAGTTTTGAAAGGTCAGTTTTTTATTAGTAAAATTAAACTTTAACGAACAATACCAGGCAGAATCATGTCTCCAACTTCCTTTATCACACACACACAGAGCACTATTTGGCCTCTTGAGGCTTATTTTCCTCTGCAGTCAAGGAAAAGGTCACCCAGGAGGTACATGGAACTCAATTCTACCCGGTAGACTCTCGTCTGATCTAAGGAAATGCCACTACTGTCATTAAAACTTTCTAAGGTCAATGATTAATACAAAAGTAAAGCATGGTTTAACCCATAGTTCAGTAAATGTGCTGATTTTATTAACAATTCTTTAGATATAAATGAGAACAAACAATGAATATGAATCACTTCTTACCTTTGCTGCCTCCACCATCCTTGCTGTTGCATCAGCCAACAATTTAGCAGCAGCCAGTAACTTCTTGGAATTGTCAACGTCGATCTCGGCCTCAGCGTCCGACCTCATGGCGTTCACCAGGTCGGAGGTTGCCTGAGCCAGCACCCGGGCCTGACGGACCATCTCTCCTGAGGGGACAGACGGTGAGTTAGAAGTTGGTTTGAAAAGACAGAGGAGACTGGATTCATGGACGAGCTGAGTTAATGCAAGATCAAGAGTGTTAAACTGATAAACCTGCTCCTCTAACACAATTGCATTAAATAATTTTTCTGCAAATTGTGAGTTCAGTTCATGACAAATAAAATCCATCATAGTTTGTTCTTTTTCATGAAGGAACGGTAAAGAGGTTGCAGGTTGATGGTAAAGGTGCAAGTTATGAAATTCAGAGGAATCTTAGTGGAACAGAAGAATTTTTCAACAAACCGCTTTGATGTGTGAATCTATATTTACTTAATTTCTATCAAAGGGAGACATTGTGCGTTGTTACAACTGTCAGCCCTCTGTGGGAGAAGAGAAGATGCTCCAAAACTCTTGCACAGTTGTATTTATCTGCATATTATTTCTGTAAAGTAGAGATGGAACCCAACAAAAGCAACTCTGCAGTAAGCTTCTATAATTCATGTGAACCTGTCAGACGATCTGCCAACAACGCACTACTGAGGGATTCTCTCTGAGTTTTCTTCACTTTTGTACCTGAAAGCCAGGTTTGACTTTACTCGACATATTTGACACCAGTTTAAAAGGCTATTCTCAAACTAGTTGCAGGCTTGCCCGATGCTGCCTGCTTATTCAGGCCTCGTCAAAGCAAACAGAGCTGGTTCTTGTCTATAGAGCCGATCAATATGGCTAAGCTGAGCACAGGGCCACGGGCATTCTCTGTGCATCTCCTGCTATCAGTGCGTTTCTCTCTGTGCTGTCAGACTTGTAAACATCACTGTCAGCGTTTCTCTTTGGCTTCACCAGCGCTGACAACAGTCCATTCAAACCAAACATCATGGCAGAGCCTCTGAGGGGTAGACAAGATGACATGAGACACACAAGACATCTACTCAGAAACTTTAGAGGTTTACGTAAGCAAGTTTTTAAAGCCTAGGATAGACAAAGAAAGGGGGGGGGGGGGCTATTTCATCACTGTTTTTATAACAACATTTCTGTCTAAGAAAGGTCAATGTTATCTCAAAATTTATATTTTTCAATATTCATTCATTTTAATAATAAACAGATTTCTGTGGACTTCACATCTGGGTCTGACCTCTAAACAGAAACCACTGACATGATCCGAACCTTTTGTTCTTTCCTCTAAGATTTTTGGATCTTAATTTTTGCACATTATCTTAAAGCTCTGAATGAATTAAGACAGTTTGATTCTTTTAGTTAGATGCAGCACCCTCCATCGTCAAAACTAGGAGTGTTCAGCCATGCTAACAGCTAACATTCATATTCAGCAGGTGTATTTCCTATGACGACCAACCTTAAGTTTAGCATATTAGCTTGTTGACAATCCTCAGGTAGAACCAAAGATTAAAGAAAGGCCTGTGGAAAAGTTATTTATTCTGATTTATTTGGACATAAAGTAATGGGAACATTAAAAGGATTTGAGCAGATGACGTCTTTTAATAAATAAAGATTAATCCTTAATTTGGACCATAGATGAATCCACCAGATTTTATAGACACCCATCCAACACTTGTTGAGATGTTTCAGTCTGGACTTAAAGTGCCATCATTTAAACATGAATTATGATCTTAATATGCTTTTGCTGACTTCTACTTTGTAAGCGCCGTACAAAGCAAAGCATATTACTAGCATAATCCATGTACAACACCTTCCTAACTTACTACAGTATGCATAAGAAGTAGACTATGGTCATGTAGAATAAGGCACTAATAAGTGCTCAATAATGACTAATATGCAGCCATCTTGCTACTTATTAGCATGCTAATAAGCAACTAATTAATGGTGACTATCGTGAACCCTCATTTAAAGTGTTACCAAAATCCAACAATGGCAGGATTTGCATCTCAGCTTTCCATCACCAAACAATAACCTTGTTTAACTCACCTGCGTCTCCCATGGAGCTGAAGATGCTCTCAGTGACAGTCATGATGGTGTCTGTGGCCTGGTCATAGCGCCCGATTGGCTCTCCTCTGGAGGTGTACTGACGAACATGCTGCAGGAGATCTCCCAGAGCCTGACTCACCACACTAGCTGCTGCGCTCACCTTCAACACAGGAGACACACACCATCAACTTTAGTGTTAATCTGCATCTCTCCCTGCTGGTTGGTTACAGGCACACTGGACTCATTATCTTCATTTCCCCTTAATCCCTGTGTTAGTACATGAACAGAATATCCGTTGTGGCTTAAATGGAAAGCTTGAAAATCAGTAGGAATCAGTCAACCTATTCGATGCTAATTAGTTTTTTTTCTGGGTCAAACTTGTGATATACTTTTTTTTAATCTTCTGAGCCAAGGAATTTAAGTACACTGGTCTAAACATAAATCGCACTGACCTGTTTGAGGAGCTCGCCGTCCTCTGTAGCCGAGAGGCAGGCCTGCACGCAACTTTCCACCGAGCGATCCACCAACTTTCCAGCTTCGATCAACTGCTCCTGACAAACAGGCGAACTGATGGTGGGACTCACCACCTACAACACAAGACAGTGAAAAACATTAAGATAAAAAGTAGAACATAAAAAAGGATCACATCTTCACAACAAAGGGATGTAAGAATAAATAATTCCTTCTTTGTTTTCTATAACTAAATCTTGCAATTATTTTAATTCATTATTTTATGTTTGTTTTCAATCTTTTTTTAATTTTAGACTCAACATCATGGAAAATAAGGCATCATTATTCAAGTAAAGGTTGTCAAAGTTAATGAATGAGAAAAAAAATACAGTTGCATCACATGATGCAAAGGTTTACAATACAGTGGATGGAGTGAGAGAGAGAGAGAGCGAGAGCGAGAGCGAGAGAGAGAGAGAGAGAGAGAGACAGAGTTGGGAATTACATGCAGGAAAGGATCCGCAGGTCGGACTTGAACATGGGCCGAACCCTTAGAGGACTATAGCCTCTGTACAGGTTGCGTGACCTAACAGCTAGGCCATCTGTACCTCAAATTCTAAATCCTTTTAAGCAGATGTTGGAAGCATCCTAGAAAATGCCGAGCAATCTCAAGTAGCTCTGTCCGTAGGTTGCCAGTTCTAGTCCCAGTAAGGAGTAATATATAGAAATTGGTGTGATTGCTTGAGAGCCCTTGAGCAAAGAACAGAACCCCAGTGTGCAGCTGCCTCCCTTCAGACATCATCTAAATATCATCATGTCTCTAAATAACAGAGTGTTAACCTGAATTTCCCCTCGGGGACTAATAAAGTTTGTAAAATAAAAAACAAAAATAAGATTTACTTTCCTAATGTGACTCTACACAAAGAATAAACATATTAAACAATGGGAAAAGAATAAACATAGAGAAGAGGAAAACTAATTTGATTGAGCAGATGTTTCTTTTTTTTGCAGATGCAAAAAGCTGCAGATTTGTTTAGTAATGTAACAATTCAGAGTGGGAGCTGGGAGGCTATTTTAGCTAATTAGAGGCGTGTGGGTTGTACAATTAAAGATGTGCAAATATAATGAGGGCACAGGGTATTTAACTGGGCCTTGATGCATCCCAATATATTCACTCTCCAAACAATCCTTTTTAAACACGCTGATAAATTGCAGGCTACTCTTAAGTTTAGGAAATAAATTTGTGTATGCCAAACAGCAATGGATACTCTGTAATTATAAAAAATACTGCACTGCACCAGTGGAATTCTTGAGGAATTGAATGCACATTATTTAAATTCTGATACCTTGCGAGTCATTTAGTCCATTAGTTGGCATCTGTATTATTTATATCATTTGAATGACACACACACACAAACACACACACACACACACACGCAAACACACACTCCTGTACCTTGGCACAGGCTACCAGCTGGGAGGTGGACAGGGCACACTGTGTGGCAGCAGCGATGACCCGGTTCTGAAGCACGGTGTCCTCCGCCACTTGGGCCACATTCTTGGCCTTCAGCACCAACATGGCTGCAGCGTTGGCCACTGCTTTGGCCAGATTCATCAGGATGTCCTGCAACAACGAGGCAAAGCAAGAAAAATACAACACAAAAATGATATCATCAGCAACAGAGCATTTCATCTATTTTCAGAACAGGATGAAAAAAATGAAGCTTTGGCATGTGGACATTGGAGGTCAAACTATTATCCAATACAGCTCAAAGAGGTGAGGTGGGGAAGCTAAGCTTGTGAGAATATCTTGTTTTTCTTTTCACAGGAAAATCTCAGATGTTTGCTTTTTCTGTACATAGAAACCTAAAGTTCAGTATATGATCCTAACTGATGGGCTTCATCTCCCAGCATTACCAAGAAAACAGTTAACAGTTACCAAATGTACATCTGTAAAAGTCAATTTCTATAAGGCACAGGAATCCATTTCATGGCTGCATGCTGACATGCAGGCAGTTTCAGCAGATAGTTGTTTCCGAGGTTTCTGCCTCTTTAATTGAAGTTTTTTTCTTACCAATGTAACTTTGCTAAATGGTGCTTAGGGCCGTGCTCATGATGGATTTAAGTTCAGTCTTTGTAATATAGCAATGAGTAAGGTCTTTAACCTGCTCTTTGTAAAGTGTCCGAGGTGACGTGTCACGAGTTGCCGCTATACAAATAAAGATTGATTGATTGATTTTGATTTCTTTATGGAAGAGTGTAATACACTAACAATCCGGGATCTGCCAAGAATGAATTACATTCAAAGGAACAAAAATGCTTGCAATGGCAGCTAGAATAGCATCCAACTGAAACAACAATATCCAGTTAGATACAAAGAAAAAGTGTTGGGAAATGTTTCCATATTTCCCTGGTTACAACGTGTTTGTGGTTACGTTTCTGGCCTGAGCTTTCTTTGACCCCGACACAAAGAGTGATGATATTGATAAATGGCTATACAGGGTGCAGGGTTACCTGGAATCTTTCGTCTGTCTCGCTCTCTCCAATCTGGCGCAGAAGATCTCCACTGGCCTGCCCGATGCTGCCTGCTGCTGTCAGCACAGTCTGTCTGGGCTGCAGACACACACACACACACACACACACACACACACACACACACATACACACACACATACACACACAGACAAAAAACCATCAGCCTGTAAAACTGCCTTCAATCGTCTGGAAAGACAACATCATGATGAACCTTGATATGTGGCCCTTATTCAACCTGTACAGTGATTAGCTGGCTGCATGTTGCATCTTAAAATCAACATCAATTTTATTTTTAAAGCAGTTTACAACATTAACAACAGTATGTCATAAAAGACTCAACAGTAATGACTAGTCAGTTCTATTTATCAGCCTGCATCATTTTATCACACTGGCCTTGAGGTAACACGTTACCATGCAAGCATAATGCTCAAGTCTATAGAGCCCAGGGTTGTCCCAAAGATAGATAGGCCTGTGCATTATGCAGATTAACAGCCATTAACTGTACAGAACATTAACTTCTGAATGATACATCCACAACAAAACAGCAGCAAACTCCTAATAGACCTCAGTGAGAACATTGTAGCCCAAGTACATGCAGACTTTCCTAACACCAGAGAATAAAATGCTCTTTAAAGATTTTCTAATGCAGGTTTCATTTCAATATAGGCATTAAAAGTCATGTCATTCAGTCAGAGCTCTTCACTCAGACCCACATTGACTATTCAGCTGAGCTCATTTGCTCCTGATTCTCCAATGAGACGAGACTGCAGAGCCTGTTGTTATCTCCTCTTTGGGATGGCCATCAGGGGACAGGATATATATTAAAAAAATTGTATTATTTGTAGATTTTAAACACAGATGTGTGTTTTTGAGATATCTAAAACACCATGACCTCTTAAGAAATCCAATCTATTGACATTGCAAAACGCTAATGTATTTTTATTTATTTATTTAAAATAAAAAAACACATTATGATGATGAGAAGAGAAACTCCATTATTAGCAGACCATTTCATTGGTCTTCAATATTGTCGATCATATGGGCGGAAAATATACCTAGATGGACCACCTAGCATAACATGCTGCATCATTAAGATCCCACATCTCAAGTGTTGCCAAAACCCGCCCTACTATGTTTCTGATTGGCCAGTAACGTTTGTTAGGTTGAGAACGTGAGCTGTGTTACTTGCATACCATTGGTAGGTGAACTGTATTGAGTCGGACTTCATCAAGCGCATTCACAACAAATTCCCACATGTATTTAAAAAAGTTTTTTGTTTTTTTTCACTCACGGCCTCATGCCGGAGGTCCGACACGGTGCCACAGTACTTTAAGCCCTATATACATCCATCAATCATATCCCCCCTCCCCTCATACTCCTCAGATCTCCACTAATTGCACAAGTCACCTACATTAATGTAAAAAAAAAAAAAGCAGGAGTCGCCAAAAAGCGACTGATTTGCATGCATGAATAACTCAGGCTTTTGTTCTTTTATACAATGTGTCGTTATAAAACGGTCTGAGGTTCCTTTGCTCACCTCTCCAGAAGCGGGCTCCACAGCCTTCAACAGGTCGGACACGGCCCCCGCCAGCGTCCTGGCAGCCCTCATCAGGTCATTTCCTCCACCAACATCATCCTCCATCAGCGCAGCCAACAGCTTCACACCCTTTGACATTTCTGTCAGGTTGGAGGAGATGGTGGTGATGGCGCAGCCTACTGCGGTGTAGTCGGTGTCCGTTGGATCTCCTGAGCATGGGGAAAAAAAGACAGAATAAAAAATAAAAAATAAAAAATATAAACAATACAACTGCAGAAGTATAGTCCATGTAAGCACACGGTAAATATTCAGAAAAAAGACTTGTTGATGTCTGAAGCACGGATAAATCCATTTAAAAAGACCAGCTTGTAAAAGTTCCAAATGGCACAGAGTGAAAATTCACTAAACCACAGCAGGATATAAGGAGGCTATAAGATTTAATATATAGGGTCTGCAATGATCTTAATGAACAGCAGACTGCTGGAAAGGTTCTACTTCAAGCCCTTAATTGGCCAGATAATTTGAAATCTGCAGAATAGCAACACTTAAATCTCCTTGTAAAACTGTGGGCACGGCTAACATGTTCTGTGGTTACAATAGGGGGTTCCTAATAAAGTACGTAATGCAGCTGTACTCTGCAATCTATTACTTCATTTAAAGTAAACTGTAGTTCATCACAACTGAACACTTTCTGCTGAGTCATGTTAGTGCCACTGACCAGCTGTGAGGTTAACAACAGAAGCTGTTCCCGCAGTGATGGCGTCCACCTGGGAGTGGATCTCGTGTTTTGACTCATCCATCTTGTTCTGGATCCAAACCTTGGACGCCTGGGTTAAAAGGGGACAGATAGTTCATGAGAATGAGCCTCTTTGCATGCATGAAATCCAGCTAAAAACATTTTCTGATAACACTACTTTAATGCATCGCTAATACAAAGAGTAGTGGAAAATTGGATTCTGTTGGCTGTAAAACACTTCAGTTAACTGTGGACACATGAAGACTATACAGTACCATGTCCTGTCCAAGTGGTGGCAGGTTGTCCACCTCCCCAAGGTCAATCTGGGCCTTCTGCACAGCTTGCATACTGGTGTTGATGGTTCCCATCAGAGCCTGTTGTGCTGAGCTCTACAGTTACAAGAAGATTATCAGGTTCACTTCTCACAGAATGCAGACAGGGGGATTGCCCCCATGAGCTAAGCCTGTTTGAATTGTAAGCATGTGTAGGAACCAGTCTAATAAACTTAAAGGTGAAAAATAAAAAGGAAACTAACTGCTGAACGAGCAGCATACAAGACATAATTCCTGTACAAAGTAACATTATCCATGAATGAAAAATACACAAACATCTTACTGAGAACCATTTTGCTCTTCTTACCAGCGGTGGCATGTGACCACGGTGCATCTGACCCATTGTGATCTGCTGTTGAGCAGATGGCATGGTGCCCATGCTGAGCGACTCTGTGCCGATGGAGCCTGAGCGGATCACTCCCGGCAGTGCCACTGAGCCGTGCTCCACCCGACCAACACGATTAAACTGCTGCTGCAGGATGGTAGACCTGCAGGTACACATAGAGGCAGTTTAAACAGCAGCAAAAAAATGCCACCATGTTTTTCAAACTTCAATAAATTCAGTCCCATGGAACACTAAGCATGAAAGAGAGTAAACCTGATCAGTTACATGAATTAATTATACTCTAGAGTCACATTACACAAGGCCAGGTCAAAATGTTCTTGCCTGATAAAGCCTGACGATCAATGGGATTTATTTGAATGCACTGACCAGTGCAGAAAATGAAAGGTTTGAAGCACACCTTCTAATTTGGTTAATACAGGCATAGTGGCCCTTATTACCAAAGGGAATTAGGTGGAATATAAATCACTGAGGACTTGTGATTAATCATCATCCTCTCACCCACTCAAATAACTGCTCTCGCAGCTGTTAAAAAATATAACTGTGCCAATCACACCGACACAGGATGAAAATACTTCAGCGAAGGGAGAGAAGAGACCAGAAAATGTTCTAGCAGGAAGAAAAATAATGGTTTTAGGAAGGATTTAGTTATTCACATTGTCATTTGTTTGTTTTATGCCCATAGTGTTGACTGTTCCATTTTGCAACAGAGTACGTTAGATAATTACAGACAGAGAGAGAGAACAGCTTGAACTTTTATTAGATTCATCATTATTCTATAACTGCCTCACCTTCTGCAGGTACTCAGATGAACATTTACTCAAACCTTCAAAAGGGAAATCTTCAAACAAATGGCACGTTTCAGCAGGGTACTACGCTAAAATAATGTATAACAACAAAACATAGTAACTATGTCTATTTGTCAAATTTGGGTAAAACTCAAAATCTGACTTTTTAGAATATAACCTTAACAAAAAATATTATTCAAATCCAAATGTGCCGTAGATATGCTATATTTCACACATTAAAGTTATTAAAAACTAGAAAAAAAATTAGAAGTTAATTAAACAGAAAATCACACTGGCTATGTCCAAATCACACACTCCTCACTACATAGTGAATATGTCTTTTTGTATTGGTGAGAGTATATCTACCTCTATAAAATTCACTCATTGTATCCCACAATGCATTGTAAAAAGTAGAGTACAACCAATGCATAATATACCATCATTCATTGCGGTTCAAAGATTTTTAGTGGAAAGTAATGTTTGACTGTTCTCAGATGAACGAGAGGAGAATGAACACAGAAACCCTAAAAAAACTCATATTTAAAGGCATTTCTTTATACTAAAATCAAGAAGCTGTTTCAATAAAGAGTAAAGGATTTCCAACAGATGAATGGTAGTTTTTTTGCCAAATGGTGATGACAGGCATAAGACCAGAGTTTATAAGCACAAATAAATGGGCTTGGTGTAAGGATATGTTTCATTTTTGATAAAAAATTCAGTTCTTCATATTTATGTATATTTGTTATTTAACAGTTATCATTCATCATCGGCCAGCGTGAAGCTGCACGTTTTAGTCGTGGACCACCAATGATGACATTATCTTTGGCTGCAGTACTGTTTGAAATGTTTTTTATTTTCAGTCGTTGTGCTAAAAGAGTACACTACATAGTCCACTACAGACAACTCTCTGTGTAGGAAGAAGGAAAGAAGTGTACTAAATAATTACCTGTATTTTTCTTTTGAAAAAACAACGTTTTATTTCCAAGAGCTTCACATTTGAATAACTTCATCTGATATTAACTATGTCAAAAAGTAATAACATTTAAGGTAATCTTTCAAATAGCTTATCATCTTAGCTTAGCTTAGCTTATCTCAGCTAAGCTTAGCGTACTAGCCTAAACCTTTTTTTTCTTTAAATCCTTAAAACTGAAAGCTAAACAATCTGTTTAAAGGGGCATGAAATGTAGAAACTATCCTATTCAATTTAAAATTCACAAACAACATACACATCTAACATGAAAGACAAATAACTGAGCTAATCATTCAGCTGTAATGTAGTAAGAGTATATCAGTGACTGAAAACACATGAAGACAAAGCAAAGGAAGGTAAACAGTCAGTTAGATGAAGACTATAAGAGAGTGTGATTTTGTGTCTTGGCTGTGTGTTTGAATGTGTTGACAGCCAGTGTTGTGTTCATTTGTGACAGTGGGTCACAAACACAAAGCAGACCGAATCTGCAGAGTCTTCCCAATGTGTACTTGTGGAAGACAAAGCTTTGTTCTGTTGTTCCTCAGATAAGGCCATCCAGAGTTTGGCTCGCTGCATGTTTGCAGTATTAAAGACTTTTTGCCATCAGGAGAGCGCACAAGCCCAGATAAAACAAAAGGGGAAAAACTGCACAAAAAAAACGATCCCAGCAAATGATTTCTCGGTTGAAGGAAGCAGGACAGCAATATCAATCGAGGCTTAACAGGAAAGAGGGCTTCAGTTTCATACTGAGAGTCCCCTGAGAATGAATGTGATAATACACATCTAATCAGGAAATGTTCAGATAGACCCTCCACTTGTCAACGGGCAGACAAATTTCCTCACATAGTGATTATCTCTCAGGATAAAGTCCGGCTCAGGAGGTTAAAAATTAGGCTCCATTAAATGGATCTGTGCGTTGTGGTCGTGAGGAGGAAATTGAAAAAGAAAGTCTGATATTAAGTTTTGGGACAACAGTTAGCAATAATATTGTGTGCTGCATTTCTCCTCCTGGAGAAACTTTTATCAGTCCACAGGTTTACATTTAACTTTTGATTGATCATGCACTGCAGGGATGACTTGAGAAATACTGCAAAATGATTACATTGAAAAACACGTCTTTTGTCAAATAGCTTAGTACGTTTTTGTGAATCTTTCTTTTCAAAACGACATTGTTTTCAAGAGCATATTTTTTTTATAGCTAATAAAAAGAGGAAATCTGTCTCCAACGGTTAAAAGAAGCCCTGATTGTCCAATAACTGTGATTTGGTCTGAATGCTAAAGGTAGCATGCTGTTAGCTAGCTTGCAGCTGGCTGTACAGAGAAGACCATGTTGGGTGAGTTTGTTAGCATTCCTACATTTACTACAAGTTATTTTCTGTTTATTAGAATGAAAGTCTTGAACGTAAAAAAATATTTTAGTTATAAGGTACATACTTTTTCGGTGATACAGATTCTTCGAGCATGGTAGACTCCTCATCTCCCTCTAGTCCAAAGCGGTCCTTACTTTGCTTCTGCAGGAAGGGGGGGAGAGAGAGAATACACCAAGCTTTTAGAAAATAGAACAGTGACTGCAGAGAGGCTGCCCTCAGGTGATCTGTCTGTATTTCAGAATGTGCGCAACATAAAAGAAAAAACCCGGGACCTAATTCAAGCATCTCAGAGTAGGACATCAGTCTCTGGCTAACACATCTTATATTATTTAATATTATAATATATAATATTATTTGTAGGTCATTAAAACAACAGTTGCTCTTAATCATATACTAAACAATTAAAAAGTTGAAGTGATGGTTCTAAACAGCATGATGAGGTCTTACAGTGTTCTAAATGAGTCCAGCTGTGCTGTGTTTGTCTTTATTTAACATCAGATGTACAACACAGCCGCCTGAGTACATCAAACATCAAGAGATCTGACACTTCATCTGCCACAGGAGGGTATCGATTCATCATGATTCATTTGTATATCTAAAGAAGTGCCTCACCTTTTTCAGGATGATGTCGATGTATCCTGCAATGAGCTGAGAGATCTGTTCCCCTTCAGTGGTCTGCACCGAGTAGTAGCTCTCCTGGTACTCCCCAAAGTCCTTCACACAAGAAAACACATACTTTATCATCTTAAACATGGATTTTATTCTGGACTGTGGAAAGAAACCTCTGCAAGAGCTTGCGCTGTACACAGGCTGAGGATTTACTTTGAGGATTACTGCGAATCCATGGAGCCGGATAGTTTCACATGAATGCTACACATTGTATTGGGTGACATCAAACTGCAGCAACATATTGAGAGTCAGATTAAACCAAGCGGAGTGGAGTTTATGTAAGAATCACAGCAGAAAAAAAAAAATGATCTGCCTCACTTGGACCATGCATCAAAGAGGTGGCGAGGTGAACCAATCTAACAACATTTTTAAATAATGACTCCTTAAATATATGAGCAGCAAATTAAACCTTTGACACTATTTCACACCCCAGTGTCAAAGAGAGAGACAGCCTGAAGCACAAAGCACTCAGCTGAATTAACAGGAAGAACGAGAAAGCTTGTTAATTTAATAAGGACTGTGCCTCGACCAGATCTACAAGATTAAATCCATGTTGCTCACTGACTCCGGGTGCTGACACAAAGGAGGGATATTGACAGGGAAGACAAAAGAGTGAGTTCAATAACTGAAGTGCACAAGGGGCTGAATGGAGAGGCAGACTGAGCACTACAGTGATTGTTTTAGGGCCTATGCAGAGAAGAGTTCACTGCAAACTTGTCATTTTTTATTGACTTCTCGGGACATAAGGCTCAGTGTGGACTGAATGAGTAATTAATAAAATGGGCAGGAAAAAGAAAACAGCCAGAATTTGCAGAAGATTGTGGATTTGTTTTTGGTTTTTTTTAAAGGATGCCTATGTTGTAAATCTATGTCACACAAGACTCTGTGTTTAAATCTCTGGTGTGGGTGTGCAGTTTGTGTGTAAGTCTCACCAGCGTGAAGCTCTTGGGTGACGCCGCCCACCTCTTCACAGTGGTAAGAGGCCACTCCTGAACCACATCTTTGGTCCTCTCCTCCACTCTCATCACAGACTCTTTGGTGATCCCCAGGAGCCGCGGCACCAGCTTGTTCTTACTTTTCATCTTTTCCTGTTAAGGAACATTAAGATCGCACCACAAACAAATATGAAATCAAACATCTAAAAAGGTACTCATCACACATGAAGATGGCTGAGACAAACAGGAATGCTGCCAACATTGAAAGTGTGTCACACTTTAACTCCATGTGTGATTGCTTCCCATGTACAGTCAAATATATCTACTATTTCCTTTCAGGTCTAATCAACACTGGATTACTGTATGGGGTGTATCTTCTCTGATGAGCGCTGTGTACCGAGTTGACGAGATTTCCGTTCGTCCCAGTTCCCAGACGAGATCTTTACTCTTTGCTGTGTTAGTGAAACCATTTGAAAGAAAATTATTTGTTTAATCTTTCTTTATATTCGGCAATTGAGGAAATCAAAGTGTTTCATTAGATCTCACGTCTGGATTACCTTGGCAAAAATAAAACATAAAAACCTGTTCTAATAAAATAAACATGAAATGTGATTTAATCTTAAAACGTTATTCTAATCTGTAAAACTTGTAAATAAGCCTTTACATTCTTTGCATCTATTTAGTATTAGTGTCTCGATGCCTTTTCTAATTCTTTACACCTGTACCGTTTCCATAATGTGCTATTGAATCATGATCAGGCTAACTTTATGAAACATTTTTTAAGAGTTATTTTTGGGAGGCTTGTAATGCCTTCTTATAGAGACAGGACAGTGGATAAAGTCAGATATCTGGGAGTGAGAGAGTGAGGAATGTCATGCAGGAAAGGAGCCATGGGTCAGATTCAAACCCGGGGCCACCTGCTTTGAGGACAACAGCCTCTGTACATGGGGCCACAAACTAACCACTAGACCAACAACGCCCCACCCAACATATTTTTTTTTAATGCAAAACCCATCCTGCAGCAGCATTGCTAAAACATATTGAAGTGTTACTAAGTGTTTCAGCAAAGGCTCTAACAATGGCTTATGGGACTGTCAGAGTGTTTCCTCTGATACTGATAGCAGTACTCATAACAAGACATACCACTGTTTTTCTAGGACCATAATTAATCACCAAAAATGTACAAGTGCTCTCAGTTAGGCTGCTGGCAACAGCTCAGTGCTCCTTTAGAGCCATTATTTAAAGCTCTGTATGTTTTGTCATCAGTAACATGTGCTCTTTATTGTCTCAGTTATAGGGGTCATTTTACTTTGGTTGGAAGCTTCTGTATTAAAACAGACATACTTAGAAAATGAACACAGCATTTTTAATCTTAACTTTATTCTTATCGTATCACTGGTATCCCCAAATTTACTTTTCTCAAGATGTTAAATTCCTGAGCTTGTTGAGAGTATAATTTAAATAAAACTAATTCAGAGAAGGGGACAAATCAACAGTTCAAGCAACACTATTTTAATTCATGGGCCTAGCAGCTCAAAATTCAGAGTTTGCTGTCACAATGATCTGCCAAGATGAGTATTCATCTGACTAAGCAGTGAAAAAAAAACTTTTCCCGGTTAGTAATTAAAGCGTTATGTCTTAATCATGTCTTTATCTGCCTGTCACAAACTCTCAGCCTCCCCCTGTGTTCACTAAGCCTTTGATGTTTTATTTCATTCGCTGCATGGAAAGAGAAAGCATTTTCTTCAGGAGCTGCAGTCAGCGAGCAGATGGGAGGACTGAGATGGGCTGTGACGTGAGGGCAAAGAGGTGAGTTTTGTTAAAGTCCAGCAGGGCCTGTAAACTCTCCGGGGGCCTCAGGGGGTTATGGGTTAGGGACTATAAGCTGCATTTTTTTCCAGTGTTTATTTTTGAAGATGTGCCTGCTTCACTGGATTATACTTGAGGGTGGAGGAATGACAAAGGTGGGGAGATAAGATGTGAACTGATCAGAGAACAGATCCAATGCAAGGGGGTGGGATGTGTAGTTTTTACACTTGGAAAGAACAAAAGGTGAGATACACCGTGTACTTGAAGGACTGTGGAATGTGAGCTCCTGCGTGTGAAGATTAGATGAGGTGAGCTCTGATCTAATGGAGATTTTTGTTCTTTAAACCTCGTCCGAGCTCTTATCCTCTGGTGCTGAAAGCTGCTGATGAAAAGCCAGGACCTGTCTGGCAGAGAGTCAATAACAGCAGCCCAAGTGACTTTTTTTTTTTCTTCAACTCTCCAAGCAATTACCCAAAAATGATGTCATTTTCCATGAGAGCGCTAAGCAATGAAGTCTGAAAAGGTGACAAGTAGGAAGAGATTTATGGATGCAGAGAAGGACGTTTCCCATCTTTATATGCGGGATGTCCTTTTGGCGAGAAATGATGTGGGGTAAAAAAAAAAAAAAAGACTTATCTGTCACTCTTAGCAGTTACACCAGAGCTACACATCGAGAGCAGCAAATTGGTGCTCCTCAGCAGACATCTGCTGGCAGTTGGACTTATTTGTGGGAATTAGTGTCCCAGGTTTTGCTCCCAGTCTCCCTGTTACACTCCACTTCCTCCCACACTCACTCTGAGATCATCTTTATAGCCACACTTGGCTGCATGGACACATTTGGTTTCCTTACAGCAACTAACTGACCAACCTGACCCTGCAGAGGTGGTGCTGCGGCCATATAGTATGTGTGTATGTGTGTGTGTGTGTGTGTGTGTGTGTGTGTGTGTGTGTGTGTGTGTGTGTGTGTGTGTGATGGGGGGAGATAAATGACAGAAAGAAGGTAATGCGGGGACATTATAGCAGGTTTCTCGCTTTGTAAAGTGTTGGAGAAAGAAAATGGCATCATAAATGAATCCTTCAGTCCATCAGAACAGCTATGTGAACGTTTCTTATGCAGTGTAATGTTTCAGTGGTTATAGCATTTTACATTTAATTGATTCAAATGCAATATATATTAATAAATGAAAATAATCTGAAAAACAAACATTGTAAAAGCATTATGCTAATAATTAAAGCAGACTGTTTAAGCCATGACCAATGCAGTTCCCAACAGATCTTTCTTTTGCATTTGTTCAAAACTTAAATCTCCGACTGAGCTGAATAAAAAGGTTGCTGTTTGTGTGTGTGTGTGTATATATATATATATATATATATATATATATATATATATATATATATATATATATGTTGACCGGATTAATAAAGTATTTCTGATTCTGATATCCATCAAGCATTGAGGCTTTTGATTCCGTTTTAATATTTTACGAGCTATAGTCTCTCCTGTCCCTTTTTGAGCAGGGTGTTATTTCTCTGCGTGTAGAGGACATAAAAAGCTTTGAAGGTTCAGGTGGACACAGACTATTTCCCCTCCTGCTGTGAGCTGCCTCCAAACTCTTTATCCAGTTAACACCGAGCCCAGAGAACAGATTTCACACTCAAGAGATAAAAGGCTCCGACAACTAATTCCAAAATCTGCTTCACTTCAGGCTAGATTATTTCACTTTTGGAGGGTAGATGATCTTTTTTTTATTGAATGAAACGGTTCAGGGGTATTTCATTTAAATGCTCAGAAAGAACTAGATTCACAACTTACCTTGACCAAGAAGAAGGAGACACCATAGGTCCTCAGAGAGCGCGCCAGTTTGACGTATTTCACCTTTGCTTCGATCTCGGTCATTTCCCCACAGTTATTGTGGTCCTGCCGGTACGAATAGACAAGCTGTCAGTTTCTGAACAATTGTGGCAAAATGTGAAATGAGCTGAACGTGAAATCTGAATATTTGCTTAAAAAAAAGACAATCTGACCACACCTGGAATACTTTCTTCTCAGAGCCTCTCTGCTTGATGTATTCCTTTGGTAGAAACTCCTTCAAACTAATAAATGAAACAGACAACGGAAATGTATGAACTAGATTCATCCCACTTTTCTGTACGTAATGTTCTCCTTCTTCAGTTAAAAAAAAAAAGTGAATTTCTTTTAACTGCCACATTATCTCAATATGGGTTGTGTTTTATTTGATCTTTATTTTACCAGGAAAATTCTCAGTAAGATAAAAGCTCTCTGTCTTAAAAGGGCGTCATGGGAAAGGCAGCAGAATAAAAGAAGCTTCAATCAGACTTTTAGAAGCAGAGAGTGTTTCATAGTAAGTAACATTTTCTTTAACCCTGTTCTTAATTCCTTACTCTAAGAATCCAGGTTTGTGTTTATGCTCGACGTGAGGTCCAAACTGGATCTGAGCCTGAATGCCTGCGAACTCACAGGCCTTGTCAAACGATACCGGGTGCGAGCCGTTTAGGATGTCATCCCGAGCCTGAAAGACAAACACAATCTTTTGTAAACTTTTATCCTAAAGTTAACATGCTGGTGGCTACTTGTCACCATAAGGTGATGTTCCAGAAATGTTATACGCTACATTCTCATCTGTTGGTAAAAATATGAATTTATCATCATCAGACCTGGACATAAAGCAGGTTGAGTTGGACCGGGTCTCTGGAGTCCACGTTCTGATCGGAGTAGAAGAACTTGCGTCTGAGTAGCAGGGTCTCGTTCTCGTCCACCCCCTGCTCTCTGAACGTTCTGCTGTGGTCCAGCCAGTTCACTAATAACACAAGAAATAGATCAGAAAAAACGGGGGAGGAGAGGATTTAGAACAGAGATTAAAAACAATTTTAGGTTTGGATATTAATGATCTGTGTGGTTTGAAGCAGTACTAAGGACCTTATGGCCTTGGGTTCATTAACACGTTGCAGAGTACAACAGTATGTGATAAAGCGTATTGAGTTAAACTGTTAACCGTCTACTATGACAGCAGATCAAACACGGGTCGTCTAAACTCACGATCGTCATCCGTGTGTAGTTTAGCTTTCAGCTTCTCCATCTTTCTCTCGTCTCGCAGCAGCGTCCTGTCTTTCTTCAGTGTTCCCATTCCATCATCCTTCTTTTCCTCCACCAACTCCTGGATCAGAGAGTACTCCTCGTAGTTTGTGATGCCTTGGAATCCAAAGAGGAAAAAGAAATGATGATTTACCTCATTCAAATCATGTTACCCAAAGTGTTCTGAACAGTCAAGAATGGAAAAATCACAGATTGGAAGGTTGTCGACACTTTGTGATGCTAAAATTGAAAGTATGTTTTTAATACGTTATACCGAATAAACTAAAAAGGTGGAATGGTAAAAGATAACACTCTGTACCTATTCTGCTGCATATAGTCACAAGCAGCTCGCCCACTGTTTTTGAGTCGTCCACCATGATGGTTTTAACCGCACCATCCAACATTTTGATCTTCTGAGGCCTCTGCTTCTTCTTGTATTCAAGGATGTCCTGCAAAGAGACAAAGGTAGAGAGAAGAGAGATCAGGGGGAAAATAAAGGACCAGAGAGGAATGCAGGAGCGGAATGTATGAGAGAAATAGACAGAGAGCTGTAAGAGGGGGTGGGAAGAGTACCCACTGTGAAAATGATCAAATGCATCCAGGTTTGCATGGAGAGCGGAGCGAATATAAGCCAGAAAACCTTATTTAACGGCTGCCTATCACAGCCCGCTTCTCCTTTCCAATCACAACAATGAGCCGAGATTTGGTGCGGAATAATTGGTCACAGTCATGCCTTCTACCTGGGTTGCCTTTGGTGGATTTGAGGAGGAGAAACCATTTAGAGCTGGAGATAGAGCGCTACATGACCAAAAACAGTCAGTCGGGCGTTTGGCAGAGAGGATCAGAGAATGGCAAAGGATCTACAGCTGGATGCAGGATTCTTCTTTAAAGTCACATTTTAAAGCTTTCTTTGACTTTTTTCTTGAGATTAAATTGTATTCTGTGCTTTTACTTTCTCACTCTGCTTCACAGTTTTTTAACTCCTATCTATCAAAGCATGAATCATATTGAAAGAGATCAACAAGAATCAATCAGTGAGGTCAGATTCTGTGTGTGCGTGTGCGTATGTGCGTGTGTGTGCGTGTGTGTGTGTGTGAAAGACATATTTACCCCATTGCGAAGCATGTAGTAGTCAAGCGTCCTTCCAGACTCCAGCCAGATCCCTTTTCTGGGGTCTTCATCTGACAGAAACAGACCGTAGTCTGAAGCTGCAGCAGTGAGGAGAAACGTCAGCAATTATTTTTAATGCACGGATCAAAAGTGCACAACATCAGATCAGAATGGTACACCAACCAAACAGATGTTGAAAGTCAGAGAAAGTAGGCTAATGCCAATTTGAATCCAGTTCACCTATTTTCAAGCACAAAATTAACTCATTCACATTTCCTTATATGGAGCTGTGAGTGGGAATATTGATGATGCTGCTTTTAAAAAGAGTTATCCTGCTACCTCTGTATAATCACTTACTGAATGTAGCACTATGATGGCACCATATGATTGATTTTTGATGGACTTTTGGCCATGTTAAATTAAGATTTTTTTTTTGCAGGAAGACAGATATAACATGTGATCCCAAGATTATCAATTCTTGTCTAGCCTTCCTGTCATAGTTAACACCTTATCAACTGTCCCTCCTGTGGGATTGTTCTGCATTATTCTCACCCTGTCCGGACTGAGCCTCGGGGACCCTCTCTCTGATTATCCTGCAGGCATCATAGACGGCCGTGGAGGGTTCAAACTGCATCGTCTTCACGACATTGCACTGCCGGACACAGATTTTTAGTGACAACACCACCATCTTTGCAGGCAGTGTGGGCGGGGTCTGCAGCTACACCTGTGCAAGAAAAAGGAGAGAGAGGAGATGGGGGGGGGGGGTTGAGTTAGCTGGTTCAAAACACGTGCTTAGTGATGAAAGTCATTGACTGTGATAAATGAGCCAGATGTTTAAGGAGAAGAATGGCTGATCTTGTTATGAAAAAGGGTGCACACACTTACACACACTTCTCTTACAAACTGTGATTTGTTTTTTCATTCAACTGTACTCAAAGTTGCATTAATCCTCTGTGGCATCCCTGCAATGCTTGATGAAACAGGTAACTGTTTTTGTTTTTCATCTCTGCCACTAGAGAGAGTCAAACCTGGAGCCATTCCTCTCACTTCATGCTTCTGTGCTTTCTCGTCGTTATGCATGCTGCGCTTTCCCTCGCACTGTCATAAACAATGACATTTTATGAAAGTGAAGAAAGTGCTAATTTGTGAACAGCGAGGCCATTGTCATGCTTCATGAAACAAAAGAGCCGACAACAAATGTATCACTTTTAGAAAACAGCCCATCTGGCCCCTGAAGGAGACAAAAACAAGGCTGAGTATTCCTGTCGAAGGGATTTTTAAGCAGAAAATAAGGAAACTGAGTGATCCACAGGAAACTAAACAAGACAAGGGATCGCTCAACAATGTCATATTTGATGGATGAAACAGGTCACTTAAAAAATAGTTTCTTTGGCAGTGACCCAAACATCAACAAGAGGTTGACCCAGTACTGCTATTTCCACACAGTCAATTCAGGAGTCTCTATAATCTCTTACAACCACAAGACTCTGAACAACACACTTTAGATATACTTACTGTTGAAGTGTGAGCCTTCCACCTCATTTGTTCTTGATTACATATTGTCTACAGTTCTCAGAGTTTTAGCTCTTTGTTGAGCTGTCAGACCCTCTACCTTACAGTTTTTCGTTCTCATTGGGTAATTTCCACTTCCAGAAGGTTTCAGCAAGAAAGCTCTCCACCCTTGGGCGCCAATAGTCTAGTGTTTATGTTGTGCGCCCCATGTACAGAGGCTGCGGGTTTGAATCCAACCACAGCCCTTTGCTGCATGTCACCCCCCACTCTCCCCCTCCCATCATTCCCTGTCTCTCTTAAACTGTCCTATCCAATAAAGGCAAAAAGGCCCAAACAATAACTTTAAAAAAAAAATTCTACACCCGCTCTTTACTACCTGGCAAGCAGCAAACAGTAGAAATAAAAACCTAAACTGTTTACACAAAGCGGCATAAAAAAAACAAAACTAAGAGAGACAGCAATGTACCGTGGTAGTTTGTGGGACAAAAAAAAGAGCAAAAAGAGGCTGAAGATTGCATTAGTTTGCTTGAAAATAGTTGTAAAAAGTGAATCGGTGATCATATACATTGTATGGACTATACACATCTGCTGTGATTCACAAGAGATAAAATGTAGGAAGAAGAAGGAGAAGTGAGCTGTGACCTCCCTCACAGAGCATCTTCTGTGTGGGACCAATGGAAACACAGGGCTCCTCTGTTGCCAAGGGGTCAAAGGAGAGAGGTCAGTCATGGCCATGGCTGAATTACACGCAGAGCCTCTGATCTGCTTGGGTCGCCCCTGACCCTGACTCAGACACACAGAATTTGGTTCCTATGTGAGATGTGTTCACATGCAGGAGTGAAGGTGTTCATCTCGAGATGTTGACACTCCTCATCTGGATCCTGACGCTTCACTGTCAGCTCCACATTAGATAAGAGCATACATTATAATGCCAGAAAAGTAGAGCATCCCCCTTCCAACTCTCAATGGAAATAACACAACAGCCTTTAAAAGGAGAATCTTAAGAACACGTTCGAGCTCTTTCCTCAGATAGACACATATTTCTTAATTACTGCATTAATTCAATGCTTAGCCTTTTAATCCATCTCATTGCTTTGGGCTCCGTCTCAATCAGTCAAGCACTTCTGAAAACCTCCTGTTGATAGTGGTTGGACCAAAGCCAAATACTTTCTCAAAATTGCTCACACAGTCAGAGTCTGAGTGCGCTTTAAGGACAAACACTATCCTGAAGCAGATGTCAGCTGTTATTCTGGTGAAACCCTGCTGGTCAACTGAACCTTGTGAATGTAAAGCTCTCTCAAAAGGGTGGATAAGAACAGACAAACTCTCAGTGATGCCCTTCAAAAGACCCTCTAATGAGGTGATTCATAGAATGAAAGCAACAAAGATGACTTTGTGGACACACAGACAAGACTGGAGAGGATTTAGGAGAATATGAAGGCTTGTTCGAAATACTACAAACTCTGTATCAACATGGTTAAGAGTAATGGTTCATTTCCCTCCTTCCCTTTTCTGTTTTGAACAGATAATAAACTGGTTGGCCTCAGTGGTATGGATTTCAGCTTTTTTTGCCTCAACAAGCAAGCTGCAAAACCACAGAATAATCTGACATTTCCTTTTCGGACTCTAATCGCTGCAGCATCAGCCGCTAACAGCCTGAAGAATGGTCTGACAAACAGCAGGAAGAAGTGAAGAGATAAGGGGAAGTGATGAAGAACGAGTGAGATAAGCTAATAATCTGATGAAATGTTTATCAGTGGAACCACTGGCAGGCTCAGTGGGACTTCATAGAATGAACTATTTAAAGAGAACGCCTATTTTGTACAGTTTGTGTTAAAAACACAGAAATCAATGTTCACATTAATTGACTTCACGGTGCAACATTTCTTATTTGGCTTGATGAATATTTGACCTGTTTTTGTAACGATGTGCTTCCATACAAAAAGAGCTAATCCAGAGATTGCACTTTTGTCAATGCAGCTCTAATGTCCGCATGTGTCACTATAAAAGAAAAAGACAGACAAGTTCTCCATCGGTGCTCCCTATCTTTTTTTTTTTTTACACATTCTGAATCATTTGAGATAATAAGCAATGCCATACTGCACAGCTTTGTGTCACATCCATTATCTGTGTCCTGAAGAAACATTGCATTCTTTCCTTTCTTCAAATGTGTTTGATAGCTTGAAAATAAATGAATAAAACATGAATTGGTAAAAAAAAAAAAAAAAAACTCTTAAATTACATAAAGACAATTATATAAGATTTTCAAAATGAAGGATGTTTTGGGCTTTATAAGTTATTTAAGGCTTATTTCATGCATCTGGAGATAAATTATACAAAAACTTTTTCTGTGTTGATATTAAAATATTCTCAAAATATTATTGAACTGTTAACTCGTAACAAATTCGACCTTGATCCCCTCCTAAGGTACACAAATGCTGTTCTGCTCCTTTTCATCATCTGACCCAAATTAGTTTGAACGGTCCCGCTAAATGATTTTGACTGTCAACTTCTCTTAGTAATTGAGCTAAAAACTGACATCCCATTAGCTAAATTGCACAGTGATACCTCAGGCTCAAAGTCAAATCCATAATTATGCAGGTGAAAAAAAACAACATAAGCTCACACAGAATGCTTTTCAAATTTAGCAACCGAATGAGTCCTTTGTGAATTTATTTCACTGCGAAACAACACGTCTTTAATCAGGATAGATTTGTTTCAAACACTAAAAAAGGGGAAACATGCAAATCAAAATCACCATAATTTTGAGCAGGATATACACTAGTTGAGCACAACATGGAGGTGAAACTCTCTTTCATCACGCCACAAGTCAAAGCAGAGTCTCCTTCCAAGCTGGATTACTACACAAGCATCCTATTATACATTTCTCTTCTCTGGCAGGAAAAAGGATTTGCTGAGATCAAATGTGATTGTAAAGCCTGCAAAATACTTCAGTAAAACCATCTCATTAGGCTGACACTGAAATCCAGTGTGGGAATGTGTCTCCTATGTGGAAATCAACACACTGGAGCACTAACAAGCCCACAGTAATCATGGACCACAGAAACAAATAAATGATTTTTTTTTATTTATTTTTTTATAGAAAACTGTTTGTGAAGAGAAAAAGATTTACAAGATAACAAATTTACTTGGATACTGTTAAAAGTAGTGTACCAAAGTCATCTCTATTGTCCAAATCAAAAGACATTTTAAGTACAAATTTGGCAGTATCCTTCTAGATCAATAAAAAAGACATAAATAAATAAATACAGACAAATGGCCAACTATCCAAACGCTGTAGGTAATACTAACATTGATATTAGTGAAAAAAAGACTTGTTTTTTAATTAGACAAAGAGTTAAGAGTCATGCTAGCTCTGAGTTAAATGCTAAAGCCTCCACGCTAACATGCTTGTTCTGTGAGCTTGTAAGTTCTTTTATCTAAGAATAACTAACAGAAACACACATTTCAAAAACACCATTCTTTCCACACTTGTTTTGTTTAATTCAGTTTATATATGAAAATGTTTAATACCAAATGACATGATGTACATCTCATCTAAGCTAAGCACGTCAGCATGCTAAACCTCAGAAATAGCATTAGCAATTGCGATTTTACAACAGCCCCATTTGGAAGTTCTGCCGTCATATTGACATACTGGTACCCAGGGGTGTTATTTGTCATTGCAATACGGAAGAGGTAGTGCGTGTAAACACACAGCAGGGGCTTCACATACACAGACCGCTATTCTGCCCTGCAGCCTTTGACGTTGCACACATCTCCACCATCCTACACATGTTATGCCTCTGTTACGATGGAAGATCAGGGGGAAGAACAACTTTGCCTCACCATTCCCTTCGCTGCATTACACATTGCAGGCGAGGCGTATAGCAGCGCACATATCCCACATTGAACTGGCAATATAAGCTACAACTGTAAACACAAAGCACAGCTGTGACTCACAGGAAAAACCAAAAAGGTCTAATGGTGTACATGAATGTCTGCACTGTGTAGTGTCTGTGACAGCTGTCAGAAGTCTTGACTCAACAAGTGTTGCCATTTTCAGCCACGTACTTCACAATTATATTATGAGTAGAAAATAAGAAGAACAATGAATAGAAAATGTATTTTAATAAAATAACTATATATAACTATATAATATATCAAAATTGTCTCCCTCAACTAATCCCGGCCTTCACATTTATAGCTGAA